TTTTGAAGGTCTTTTTTTTTTTCTTTTTTTGGTTTTATATTCATTCAATTTTCTTTTGTGGTGGTGTCCGTACAGGCATGTTGTTCTTCCTCCTGAAGTGGCCAAACTTCTCCCCAAGAATCGCCTCCTCTCTGAAGTATGTTTGTTTCTTAGGGTTTTACAGAAATAACTCCTTTTTCTTTTGAAATGTATTTTTGTTCATTCTTTAAAATTGATGTTTTTGTTTGTTTACTTCCGTAATGTTTTATTAGAATAGTTTGCTTTGTTGATTGTCTAGTAAGGAAACTAATTAATGACCATAATTTTGAGTTCTGAGTTTGATCGTGCATGAATGATGAGATTGTTGCTACTTATTTGCTGCGGCATTTGGGCCTTGCATTTTAAGTTTCGTGCCAATTTTCCATCTTATCGAGGCAGCTGATTAAGCTCACTCATTATTACAAGTGCCCGTATGTTGTTTTCCAGGAAGCATGATTATTTGTTCCTATGCTTGCTCATATGTAGAACTCAAAATTTTCGGTTTATGATTCTTATAGTACGAGATACGGTACATTGGCATCACTTCACTTGGTTTTGAAGTATGGATTGGGTAAAGGAACTATGATTTTCAATGTCATATGTTCTGTTTCATTTTGCAAAATGTTCAATATATATCTTATGCCTTGTGCCTTTTAACTTTGTGATGTGACTAACAATACTGATGATGTATTTTCTTTTTGGCCACCAATACTGATGATGTTTTATCCGTTAGTTTTCTGGGTTTCTGGGACTTTGAGCAGTTTGTCATTTGGTTCATGTTGATATTGTTTTACAGAATGAGTGGCGTGCAATTGGAGTACAACAGAGTCGCGGTTGGGTCCATTATGCCATTCATCGCCCTGAACCACACATCATGCTCTTCAGGAGGCCTCTCAACTATCAGCAGCAACAGGAGAATCAGGCCCAGCAAACCATGCTTGCTAAGTAATTACTATTAGTAGTGTTCATTAATCAGCATCCAGAAAATGGATGAAAAAGAAAAAAAAAAATACTTATCAGTGTTTATGCATGGCATAAACAGTTTGTTTTGGAATTCTGGGTTTGTAGTCTAAGTCTCTACTGTGGTAGAATTCCATGTTAGTCTTGTTTCTTGCTTTCTCTAGTGTGGTGTGGATGACATAATGTCATTGCTACTGCATCTTAGATATAAAAAAGCTTTAGATTTGGTGTACTGCTTAGACGGTTTTCAGTAAAATTCTTCTTGAATGGTCACATGGATTTCACTTTTATGAGTTTGCTCTCCAGGATCACAGGATTTAAATGATTCCTATGTTTGTCAATCTTGATTTTTCCTCCTTCCACTAATTTGCACACTCATTTGTTCCTTAATGGCCAGATCCAGCAGCCTGGAGCTGGCTTAAGGGCTGTCAGTCTTTTTTGGGCTACTGCGGCAAGCACTTCCTCCTATGCTGCATGCGGCCTCTCTGGCCTGTAGGTGCGCCGGCTGGTGCTATAAGCCTAATCCTGTCGCAGCGAGCTTGTTATGGCTACAAGTAGCCAAACCAAGTAGCTAACAAGGTTTTCTGGCTTTTATTTGGAGTATTATTTCAACAATCAGTTTTGCTCAATAATCAATACTCAATAATATATCCAATTAAAGTCTTCTTTTGTAATTAAGGACATCAAGCCATTCTTATCTGAATTAGTTTGAAATTCCATCCTCAGTATGCTTCAAAGCTTTGCAAAGCCCTTTTTTAATTATTTTAAATATATATACAATTTATTTATTTTACTTACTTTCTTTATCTTATAAACAAATCTACAATTCTCAAAGTGTATAATTATTTTATTAATAATCATTATTGAATCAAAATGTTGAAGTTGACGAAGAAGGGGCAAGTTCGAGAATATAAAAATAAAAGAATATAATCGTGGTTTTCTCTTACTTGCGATTTTTCAAAGCGCAAGTTCGAAAAATTGTGTAGTTTTAATTTCTTTGACATAATTAAAAAATAGGTAGAAACTAGATTAAATTAAATATTGGTCTAACCTCAATAAATGAACAGCGTTTGGTTAAGAAATAGCGGTAATAAAATGCGTAAAAAAATTGATGAAACTACAATTTGGTCTAATTGATTTTTTTTTTTTGACGATAGGCTAAACAATAGCAAATAACCTTCATTTGGACTAAAAAAAAAGTTTGAAAAATGAGTACTTTGATATCATCTTGCGAATCTATGATAAGTAGTGGTTTAATTATTAGAATTTAATTATAAAATATCTTAATTTTATTTAATTGTGTTAAGTAATATGATTATAAAATACTTATTGTCGTCAACGTAATAGTTTTGCGGTTCAAAAAGCTTAGGGGGAGAAGTTGACTGACGCGCAGAGAGCGGAGCAATAATGTCACTTTTCTTGTTTTTAAATGTGAAAACAAAAAAAGTGACATTGTTGTTTCCCTCTCCTCGCGTCAGTCAACTCTCCCCTTAGCTTTTTGAACCACAAAAATATTTTCTTGCTCTAATTTAAATATATTATACAAACAAAAAAACTTTTAATTATTTAAAAAAATTAAAATAAATTATTATATTTTTATTATATTTAATTAAATTTTTATATTTTTATTTAAAATTAAATAAATTTTTATATTTTTTATTTTAAATCAGATAAATTTTTATTATTAATGATTAACTTAATCAAACTATTATTTATTATTTTATGTAACGTGACGTTGATGTGATATATTGAAATATCGATTGTGATAGGATATATTTATGTAGTATAATTGATTATAATATGATATAATAATTTAGTATGATAGTATAATTATGTGATATTTTTTATTTTTTATATCAGTGTCATATCAGTGTTATGTGAATATAAAATAATGAACGATATTTTTACTAATAACAATTAATCAATCATTAGTCATAAGAATTTATTTGATTTAAAATAAAAATATAATAACTAGATTGAATATAATAAAAAAATAAAAATTTATTTAAATATTTTTGAATAATTTAAAAATTTATTTAAACATTATATCTTTAATTTATCTCCTCATCTAATAAATTCCTCATGTTAGGTATACGTCATTTAAATGTATTCAAAAGTACACGTTTTTTATTTTGAAGATGATTCAACTTACTTAATATTGTCGTGTTAAAATAACGAGATCACATAATATTGGTTTTCAACATTAATTCATTGCAGTGATATACGATAATCAGTAATCAACTCCATAAATTTTTTATGTAAAGGATCCACTAAAATAGCAATTGTAGAGTATAAGACTTAAATTCATTTATGCACTTTTTAACTTTTACACCGAAATCTGAATGTAATACTGGATCAGGCCAAGCTTCATTTGTTCCCCAATTCACTGCAATCACAAAATTACATGCTAAATCATTTTTTCAGTACTGATAAGTTAATGATTTCTTTAAGTACTTAATGTATGAAGGAAATCTATGAAGCCCAAAATTAAAGATTTCCCTTTTTAGTTTATGATATGTTACATAAAATTCGTACAAATATGAATGACTTCATAGTACAGTATACATATTAGAGTATTTAGATATTTTGAAAGCAAAATATGCATTATGTATTACAAGTATAATTTTTTTTTAAAAAAATACAAATACTGCTTTGGAGTTAAAAAAAAAAAAGAAATTATAAAAAGATTTTAACACACGTACACATATTATACATATATATAAAAGTTCCTTTCCTTCTTTTTTTTTTTTTGATCTTTTCTAACAAGGCTTACCGACTTGGTTTTCTTTTGTGTAACAATCAGAATATGCATAGTATTTACTAATTTTAAAGTATTTGGAACTGATCAAAATCATAAATATAATACACATATCCTTCTCGTACGTAATTATAATATTTTAATAATATTTTATTAAAATGTTTATTTAGTTAAAAATAATTTGAATATTTGTTAAAAAAATGACCTAATTCAAATTTAATAATAAAGAAAATAAAATATAATTATTTGTATGTATTTAATTAATCAAAATTAAATCAATAAATTTTGTGTATAGATAATACCATATTATAAAATAACAGACTTCTAAAAGTATTAGTCTTACCCCGTCCCAATTATAAAATGAGTTAATTTTACTTAAACAAATCAGATAATTTATATATAACCCATTACAGTTGTCGGTGAATTAAAAAAAAATTGCACCTTTTAATTTGCTTAGTGTATTATTATTACCCAGTCCCCACGCGGTTTTATTCTTGTCCTCCGTTATAAAAGTAATGCAGAAGAAGTCAGAAAAACCGAGCCGTCGCTGCCTCGGCTGCGATTTATATATATAAGTCATGACAGCTTTTTATCACTGATGATTTCCTAAATTTCCAACGCCTGAAGCTTCAACATATATCAGTTGCAGAGCTTGCTAGCTCCGAAAACTCCGCGCTTCTCGGGTTGGTCCTAACGCAATTTACTATCTCAACCTTTTAAACGGGACGGAGGCCGATTCCATTACAACAGACGAAAACTTGAGTTGGGAAATCTCTATGAAGTTGAGCTGCCATGTCGTTGCCAAGTCATGAAAATCCGAACGAGTTGACCCGGCACTCGAATTCAAGCGATGAGAACGTTAATGAAGGTTCGACTTGTAGTTGGAGACCAATTTTGCCAGCCATGTCGCCAAACGAATTGACCCAGCAGTTGAACTCTCAGCGTCAGCCAGAAGTTGAGGTGGAGGCCGGTTCTGTGGCAGGAAATGAAGATTCGAGTTGTAGTTGGAGACCATTTTCACCAGCCTTGTCACCGAACGAGATGAACCACTCGTTGAATTCTATTTTTGAGAATTTAATTGCTGAACAGCAGTTGAAGTCTCCGGAAAACTTTGAAGTGGAGACCAGTTCCGTGGCACAGACTAATGATTTCAGTCCCATATGGATATCATTTGTAACAGACATGCTGTCACTAGGAGAAGATAAACCAAACGAGGTACCCCAGCAGAGCAATTCTCCTGATCAGCAGTTAAATTCACTTGCTGAGAATTTAACTGCTGATCAGCTGTCGAACTCTCAAAGAGACGTTGAAGTGGGAGTAGGGTGTTTTCAACCAAACCGAACCCACCTGGATCATGAAGAAAGACCATCTGATCAAGCTTCAAATGGACGAAAACAAAGGGGTCGTACACCAAGGGTAACACCATTTGACATAGCAAAGATCCAACTTGATCAAGCTGGAGCATCAGCTGAAGCTTGCAATGGACAGAAACGAATTCGCACCGAGGAGCAAGAAAATGAAAGAAAAAGGAAAAAAAATGAAAGTGATAGAAAGTATCGGGCAGACATTAGGGTAAAAGAAATCCCTATATTCATTTCCCATTGCTAAATATGAGTCAGGAATTTTACCAATTTTTTTGTTTTCTGTTTTGCAAATGAAGAGTGAATTGAAGGTGCTGAGGAAAATCAAGCCAGAGTACGACAGGCTTATGACAATGGCGTCCAGTTTTGGTGGGATTGATCAATTGGAGTCACAGATTAATGGCATGAACTCTGACATACATAAACTCCGAGAGGAAGAGGTAGAATACGACATGTTTCAGCAAGGAACTGAAATTCCAGATCGAGTTCCATCGATGAGGGCAAACGAAGTCCAAGTATGCGGAATTGAGGAAATGAAGTCCTTGTCAGACAAATTCAAGGTATTTAATGCGCTGTAATTTTCCCTAGTTACTATATATCACAGCAGTTTAATCAGTTGCTTTAAACTCGTTAGTTGAACTGATCTCAATAAGTACGATTTGTCTGACAAGGAAATGGAGGCCGATTGCCATAGACTGCAACTAATGAAATCCAAGTACGGAGAAATTGAGGACATCGAATCCATGTTGGATAAATTCAAGAATATGGAGGCCGAGTCACAGAGGTTGGCGCAAATAAAGATGTCGTTCGGCGGAATTGATGAAATTGAGCTCGAAATAGTTAGGCTTAAGAATATGGAGTTGCAGCTTGAAAGAAATAAGCAAATGGTGAACCAAAAGGAACTGGACTCCTTTCAGGCATCTCCTGGTAGTCTCCAGGTGTATCTCTCTTGCCCTCTATCTTTCATTATGCATATATATATTCGAGCCTGGCACATTAAGATTTCTCAACAATTTAATTCTTTTTGTCTCGCAACATGTGATTTAATTATTTGCTGCCGTTGATATGTTGCAGCAACTGGAGTTGGACCATATCTACAGACAACTGCAAAAGGAGGCCGATTTGGATCGATTCGAGCAACTGAAGTCTAAGTATGGTGGAACTGAGGAATTGGAAATCAAGTTGGATAAATTCCATTGGATGGAGGCCGAGTTACATAAATTGGAGCAAATAAAGTCCAAGTTTGGAGGAGTTGACGAAATGGAAGCCGAAATATATAGGCTTAAGGAAATAGAATCGCAGCACGACAAACAAAAGGAACTGCAGTTTTTTCCGGAATCTCCTGGTAGTCTCCAGGTATGTCTATGTCTATCATTGTATAGGTGAACAGATAACATACTCCACTCCTTCCGTGATAGGTATAAAGACAACAGATGACTTTGGTCTGCTGTCTCAAATTTTAGAGACAATGGGCATAGTTAACTCTAATTCTATAATTTATTTTTGCAGGAGGAGCGTGGAGCGCAGTCATTGGACTTGAACGGCCGCTCTGACGCGGTATGGTTATTGTGTTTAATAGCACCACTTAATTCGTTTGTTGAGGGAGGTTCAGTTCAGTATGTTCAAATAATATATATCTCCAACTTCTATTGATTGTTTCAGGTGTCAGCTGATGGAATCAACCTAATGTCCCCTGCCGCTGTGAGGGGGACAAATACAATGCATGGCATGCAGTATTCTGATGTGCTTGTGACTAAATTCATGGCGAAGCTTGATGATGGCAGCGTTGTGAGCAACGTGGACCGCTCCAGCTTCAAAGATTTAGATGGAGAGCCCAAAAAAGTTGGCAAGTATTGTCTCCCACCGTCTCTGGTCTCGACTGCTGAGGATATCATCAAGGCCTATGGTGATATCACGAAAAAATGCAAGTTCAGTCCTAGAATTATTGAAGTTATTTATGTTTTGTTTTGTGCTGCAATCAAAGAGATGGGTGATCTGTCGCTTAAACAAGTTACAGAAGAAGTTATGTTGAAGTGGAGAGACGCCATCAGGGATGCTGACCGCAGTGCATGTGATGTGGAATTTGCTATGAAACATTTGAAGCAGATTGCTTATGGTTACTTTGGTCTCAAAGCGTACAATGACCACAATAGCTTGAAACAGAGGATGACAGTTCTAAAGGCCGAAGAAGAAGTCTTGAGAAAGGAGCTTGAAAAGAAAACAAATGAGATGAAGGCCGTTAAAGCCAAAGAAGGAGACTTAACATCTGAGCAATGCAAGGTTTGTCAGGAATTAGCGGATCAATTTTTGGACAAAACCATCAGTGTTTTTTGATTAATTGGATCTATGTTTTTTTTTATTCTTTTGAGTAATCTTGGGTCGTAGATCAGTACTTTGTTGTAGAAGTTAAGTCATTCAGTTTTAGGTGGAAAGTAGAGAAGTTGGTAGCAGTAGAGACTAGAGACTAAGGCTTTTAGTCCTTTAGAGAAATCTTCATTTTTCTTTATTTTTGTTTAGTTTTTAATTTATTACTGTTTTTGGTTTACTGAGGGAAAGAGGAAGAAATTAGGGCTCTGGTTTCTTAACTACTTTAGGAGCTAGCTAAGTGAACATAGTGCTGTTATATCTGAAAAACTTGTTGAAAACAAATAGAATTGGTGTTTATATATGTAGAGCATAACAGTTTGGTTTTTCAGATGTCCCGGGTTTCCTGTTTTTTGTTGATAGTTTGAACTATCCACTCATTGATGATTGCGAGTCCAGGGTACCTAACAGAGCTGCAGCTGATCTGACCACCTAAAGAGACAGCCTTTGGGTGTTCTCTTACAGCATTTTCTGCTGTTCCTAGCTCTCTGTGCAAGACTCTTTTGCAGATATTAATGGGATTTCATGTCCTCAACTTATAAATTTTCTACCTTGGAATTCGCCTAAGTTTATACCACTAATTTTTACTGACAAAGTCTTTTGAGACAGTAATATTATTATCTGATAGCTTATTTCATCACTTCATGCTAATCTCAACTCCATATTGAAGATTACAATAATAAATAAACTTGTTTACCAAGTTAATATATTTCTCTGTGACATTGTCTCCCTTGCTCTCAACATGACAAGCATTGTCAAGCAACACATCCCTTGTTTTTTGGGATGAGCTAAATTTCATATTATCCAAAGTAAGGAGGAGGCCTGCTACTTCGAGTACCTAGTCTGCTCAGAGAAGCAGCAACTAGAATGTATGGCAAAATTCACTACAAAGAAGAGCAGTTCACAGTTACATAGAGCCACAAATCAATAAGGAAACAAAAATCAGACAACAAGACAGGAAACACTTGCGCTTGCCAACGAGGGATAACCTTTATATTTCCTAGCTTTCTGTCCGGAGGCTACTGTTGCAGAGGTTAGAGGGATGCCATTCTCTTGTTGCTGTATAATTTGTAAATACCACATTTCCTCACAGGAAGAATGGATTTCTACCATTGAATTTTGCTTTTGTTGTTTGTGCTTGATGAATTAGTATACCCCGTGTGTCATTTTGAAATCACATCATGTAAAATAGTTAAGTTTTTGTTATTTGAATTATCGATTGTAATCTTGTTAATAGATATTATAAATAAATTTTATTGAGAAAATATTTTGAAATCGTAAAATTCGTTAAGTTATTTCATCAATTCATTTTTGTCTAAACTCTAAACCGAAGATAACAACCATAAATTAGCGACCCACTTTGAATTGAACTGTGAAGTTTAAGACTGGAATTGAACTGTTGAAAATAAATGATACCAATTAGTACTGCCATTTAAAATTAAAAATCACAACAATTTGAAGAGCAATTAAGTTCCGAATTTTGGGCTAAGATGCAGCTAAGGATAACCCATTATGAGTGAGATCATTTCACCTTGGTCCAGCCCATTTAGCATGGCTCTTTGACACCCATAGGAGCCCAATGTCTTATGGATGGCTGTCATCTCCAGGACCCCAATTCTACACCTGACTCGGTTCAGTTATCAAGGACCTTCAAACCTCAATCACTGTAAATGGGAGTTCCAAAAATGGTCCGGCTGTTGCAGGTGGTGGAGTAGCACGTGACCACACATGGAAATTCCATTTTGACTTTTCGGACCACTTTGGTCCCCGCAACTCTCTCAAAGGTTAATTAGTGCACATGGTTCATGCAGTCTAAAAACGGGACAGCTGGGTCATATGAGAATTTTCAACATAAAAAGGGATCAGTATCCAGAAAATGGATGAAAAAAAAAAAACAAAAACTTTTCAGTGTTTATGCATGGCATAAAGAGTTTGGATGTTTTGGAATTCTGGGTTTGTAGTCGAATTCTCTACCGTGGGAGAATTCCATGTTAGGCTCGTTTCTGGCTTTTTCTAGTGTGGTGTGGATGACATAATGTCATTGCTACTGCATCTTAGATATAAAAATGCTTTAGATCTGGTGCACTGCTTAGATGGCGTTGATTAAAATTCTTCATGAATGGTCACATGGATTTCACTTTATATGATTTTGCTCTTCAAGATCACAGGATTTAAATGATTCCTGTATATGTTTTTCAATCTTGATTTTCCTCCTAACACTAATTTGTACACTCATTTGATTTGTGATCGAGTTTGCTGCCTTTTTAAGTGTCTTTCTAAATGGATGAATTTCCAGGTTTTAAATGTGAAAAAGTTCTAAGTCTAAATAATTGCATTTTAAGGATTTTAATACTTAAGAAGATGTTTTCTTAAAAGAGTATAATCAAAATCAAAATTATTTCTTTAAAAAAACTGAAAAAAGGAAAAAAAAAAAAAGCGCAAGGGCAGGTTTTTTTAAAGAAATGAAAAACCAGCAAAGGGTGTCGGAGCCCGCGCGCGAGGCATCTGTATCGTCGCACGTAGGATGCCCCGCGTTTGCATGCGACCTGATCGGCCATCAGGTGCTCTGGCTGGTGCTATTACTACAACCAAATTTTAATGCCTTTTATGTCGATGAATATTTGGACTGGTGCTAGCGGGACTTTTGCTAATCCAACAAGACAATAGCATTTTGTCTTATATAATTAATACAGCTGTGAGCAGACCACTTATAAGTATATATATACATATATATATATAATCACTTATTTTATTTATTTTTTTCTTATAAACAAAATTATGGATCTTAAAAAAAACTATAAAAGATTCTATTATTATTGTTGAAATATGCTATTGTTAACGAGCACAATTATATATTAATATAATCAATGATAGAGTTAAGATTTTAAATTTGAAAAGATGAAAACAAAAAATTTAATATTTAAAAGAACAAAATTATAAAATTTTTAAAAATTAAAATAAAATTATAAAATTTTAAACCAAAACAAATATATATATATAAATTTTTGAAATTTTGAAAAAAGTGGAAGTAGGCTTGTACAACGATCAATTGCAATCGAACAATCAACTTTAACCGTCAATTCTTGTAATCGACAGTTGCTGTTGCAATCATTGGTCGGCACAATCAGCCTTGTTGACCAATCGACTCGATCATCAGGAGGACTCCCTCCCCCATGAGTCGACCGATCAACCCTTTCTTTTTTCTTTTTTTTTTTGAGGTAAAGACTATCCTACCCTTCATTAGCCCGGCCACAATAATCGACAGCCGATCCTTTCCCCCTAGATTGAATCTCCTAAATTTTCAATCTCCTCCTCTCCAAAACCCTAACTCACCTTATTAACTCACCCATTCATAGTCCATCCTTTCGTTGTCGTCGATGTCACTCTAGAATGCTGTCAGCCATCTTTTCTTGGCAGCAATTAGCAAGTAAACCATAGTTTTTATTTTTTGATGTTAGTTTTGTGAAAATAACAATACAAAGAACTTGAAAGATTATGAATTTTATTTTTTTAGTTAAGATTTATATTAGAGAAAAAATACATCATAGGTTATAAATATTAATGAAAATAAAAAAAATTTACAAAGAGTTATATAAAAAAGTCCAAATCAAACAAAAAAAAAAAGTTGAAAAAAAAAACTCAAATCAACCAAAATCAACGTAAGCCAATCCAAAACAAGTCAAGTCAACCCAACTTAAGGCCGATCGAACTGAGGACGGGTAAAGCCGACCGAAACCAAGCTGTCACGCGATTCAATTCATGCAATTTCTATAATAAATTTTTTTAATCAATGTTAGGTAAAATCAAACCGTACTAACTCCCAGAGGGGAGACCTACGAGCCATCCTTCTTGGGCATCAGAAGATGATTATTGAATTAAAATAATAAATCCACGAGAAACGCCAGCACATGTCTTGGATAAAACAAATGTCTTTTCCATAATGCAGAAGAAAAAGCATAGTTAACACATTCCTAGCACAGTTGCTAGACTAGCGTAACGATTCTACTGCCGCGCGAGTAAAGAAAGAAGAGGAGAATACAATCGTGGTTCTCTCTCATGCTGGGAAGATTTGAATTGATTGAGTAAAAACCTATTGTTCCCTCCCTCGACCTTCTTATGGAAAAGGTCGTTTCTGTCCTTTACTTTTCTCTATATTTCTCCAATTTTCTCTCTCTCTCTCTCTCTCTCCTTTGGCTGCTGATCGCTTGCCTCGGGCTCTGTTGGATTAGCTAACAGTGATAACGAAGAGATTGATAGTTCAGTAGTGAAATTGAGAGCTGCAAACGAAAGAATTAAGATTGAACTTGAGAGTGGAAAAAATTATGTTGCTCAAAATAGTCGTGACGTGATGAAAAGATATTAAGTTGAAAATATGTTAATAAATTATTTTAATCTATTTTCTGTAATTTATTTGACAATTTTATGAACCTAAATTTTAATAAAAAAGTATCAATACACTTTTTTACATTAACATAATTCTTCATATAAGGATCAATAAAATTTAAAAAAAAAACAAATTAACACTTTATTTTATATTAATGTAATTCTTAATATAATCATTAGTAAAAAATATTTTATAATTACATGCAATAAATTATCAATATTTAACATGTCAAATTTATTTTTTAATAATACTTTATTGCATATTTATTTATGAGTTTATATAATTATTTACTTGTTTTAAGTTACTAAATAATTAGTAAATATTAAATAAATTTTGGAAAAATATTAAATAAAAAACCTAAAATTTGTTGAGAAATTTGAAATTTGTCCAAATTGTTAGATCGGGGCTTGAATCAACCAAATTGGGCAACCTTGGAGGCCGGGAAAGGTCCGGTGGAGCACGTTTGGATGCAGGCACGGCGGCAACGAGCAAAAGGTCAAAATCAGGAATTAGAAAACCATGGGCTTGAACCCACATGACCGACTGTACTCGAGTCGGCCAATTAAGTAAGCGTCAACGCCACGATCACAGACACAGTGAGACAAAATCAAAACAGTACGTTGAGCGTCGCGTAATAATAATAATAGTAAATACGACGTTTTAACGACCAGAAGCTAACAATTCGAGTGTTGTGCCGTGCCCCTCTCCTCGCGTATGTGAAACTCTTTCCTAGCTTTTTGAGCCAACAACTATTTCTTTTTGCTTAGTTTCTACATATTTAAAGTGATATAAAGCTGTTTTTATATAAGCCGCAGTTCCGAAAACTGATGATGGCTGAATTTCCAACAATATAGATTCAATATATAGCAGTTTCTGAGCTTGTTAAGCTCCGAAAACTCCACGCTTCTCGGGTTGGTCTACACAATTTACTATCTAATTCTTTCAAACGAAACCAAGAAATTTGAGTTTGGGAAATCACTTTGAAGTTGGAACTGCCATGTCGTTGCCAAGTCAAGATAATCCGAACGAGTTGACCCAGCAGTTGGATTCAATCGCTGATCAGATCCTCTTTGAAGATTGGATTACTTTATTTTCCAGATCAATTCCTTTAGCCATTCCACCGGACGAATCGACCCAGCAGATGAACTCTCAGCTTCAGCCAGACGTGGAAATGAAGACTGGTTCTGTGGCACAGAATGAAGATGGGAGTACTAGTTGGAGATCATTTTCACCAGACATTTCACTGAACGGGTCGTGGGGTTCAGTTCTTGAGATATTAAGTACTGGTGAACAGCCATACCCTCAAGCAGACTTTGACGTAGCGCCCAGTTTCGTGGCACAGACTGAAGATTTGAGTCTGACAATATTGACATCTAAAACAGACTTGCTACCACCAGGAGAACGTAATCCTAAGGAGATACCCCTCCCGTTGAATTCTCTTCCTGAGAATTTACCCGCTGAACAGCTGCTGAACTCTCAAGGACATGTTGAAAAGGGAATACAGTGTTTTGAACCAAACGGAAGCCACCTGGATCATGAAGAAAGACCACCTGATCAAGCTTCAAATGGACGAAAACGAAGGGGTCGTAAACCAAGGGTAACACCAGTAAAAAAAGCAAAGAACCAAATTGATCAAGCAGGGGCATCCGCAGAGGCTTGCAATCGACAGAAACGAAAGTTTCGTGAACCAATAATTCGCAGAAAAGATCAAGAAAATGAAAGAAAAATGAAAAAAATTGAGAGTGATAGAAAGTATCGGGAAAACATTAAGGTAAAAGAATTCCCTCTATTCATTTTCCATTGCTATATATATGAGTTAGGGCGATTTGACTAATATTTTGGCTTTCTGGGTTGTTTATGAAGAATGAGTTAACGGATTTGAGGCAAATCAAGCCAGAGTACGATAGACTTATAAAACTCTCGTCCAGTGTTGGTGGGATTGATCAATTGGAGTCACAGATTAATCGTATAAAATCTGGGTTACATAAACTCCAACAAGAAGAGGTAGGAAACGATATGTTCCAGCAAGTAATAGTTGATTCGGCCAATCGAGTTCCATTGATTAGGGCAAATGAAGTCCAAGTATGCGGAAATGAGGAAATGGCGTCCTTGTCGGATAAATACAAGGTATTTAATGCGCTATCATTTTCCCTAGTTACCATCGCAGCAGTTTAACTAGTTGCTTTTAGCTTGAACTTTTACTTGTGAGATCATGTTAGTTTAACTGATCTTAAGATGTATGATTTTTCTGATTTTTTTTATGAATGACAAGGAAATGGAGGTCGACTCTCATAGACTGGAACTAATGAAATCCAAGTATGGAGAAATTGAGGAAATGGAAGTCATGTTGGATAAATTCAAGAATATAGAGGCCGAGGCCAACAGACTGGAACAAATGAAATCCGAGTATGGAGAAATTGAGGAAATCGAATCCATGTTGGATAAATTCAAGAATTTGGAGGCCGAGTCACATAGGTTCGAGCAAATAAAGCTCTTGTTTGGTGGAGTTGATGAAATTGAGACCGAGATAAATAGGCTTAAGAAAATAGAGCTGCAGCTCGAAAAACATAAGCAAATGGTGAACCGAAAGGAACTGGACTGCTTTCAGGCATCCCCATCCCCTGGTAGTCTCCAGGTATATCTCTCTTGCTCTCTATCTTTCGTTTTGATCTGGTGAAAGGTTAAAATTTAAAAGCCCAATGCTTTACTCATAGTCTCAGTCTTCCCTCCTTTATGATCGGCTTATATTTTTCTTGTTTTTCCACCCCTCAGATTTGTGATCAATCTTCTGGTGGCCTCTTAATTGAACTTACACTCATATCACTAACATTACTTTTTTGGACACAAATTGCTGTGAGTTAATAATTATTTGCCGCCTTTGAATGTTCCAGCAACTGGACATGGATCAATTATACAGACAACAGCGAAACGAGGCCGATTTCAATCGATTCGAGCAAATGAAGTCTAAGTTTGGTGGAACTGAGGAAATGGAGTCCAAGTTGGATAAATTCCACAGGATGGAGGCCGAGTTACATAGATTCGAACAAATAAAGTCCGAGTTCGGAGGAATTGATGAAATCGAGGCTCGAATCTATAGGCTTAAGAAAATAGAATCGCAGCACGACAATCAAAAGGAACTGCATTTTTTCCCGGAATCTCCGGGCAGTCTACAGGTACGTAAGTAAAAAGATCAGTAAGTTACGATCTAAAGTGTGAGAGTATGTTCCTCAAATTTCAAGGATCATGGAAATAATTAATTTTGTTCCATAGCTTGCTTTGCAGGAGCTGCGAGGAGTGCAGTCATTGGACTTGGCGGGCGACTCTGACATGGTATGGTTATTGCGTTAATCGCACCACTTTGGTTTGTTTAAGTGAGAGGTTCAGTATGTTCATTTTTTAATTTATTTCTGCTTTGCACTAGTTTGTTTATTGTATTGATCTTTTCTCCTACTTATGCTGGTTGTTTAGGTGTCAGCTGATGGAATTAGTCTAATGTCCCCTGCCGTTGTGAGGGAGACAAATATAATGCACGACATGCAGTATTCTGATCTCCTTGTGACTAAATTTATGGCGGAGCTTGATGATGACAACGTCGTGAGCAACGTGGACCTCTCCAGCTTTAAAGATTTAGATGGAGAGCGCAAAAAAGTTGGTAAGTATAGGATCCCGCCTTCTCTGGTCTCGACGGCGGAGGGTATCATTAGGGCATATGGTGATATTACGGACAAGTGCAGATTTGGTTATAGTGTTGTTGAGACTGCTTATATTTTGCTTTGTGCTGCGATCGAAGAGATGAGTAATTTGTCGCTTGGGCAAGTTAGCGAAGAGGTTATGTTGAAGTGGAGAGACGCAATTAAGGATGCTAATGGTCTTAACTGTGATGCAAAATTTGCTATGGAAAATTTGAAAAAAATTGCATACGGTTATTTTGGTCTCAAAGCAAAAACTGACGGTGAAATCTTGAAACTGAGGATGACAAGTCTAAAGACTGAAGTATTAGCCTTGCAAATGGAACTTGAAAACAAGACAAAAGAGATGGAGGACCTGAAAGCCAAAGAAGAAGACCTGACATCAGCGCAATGCAAGGTTTGTCAGAAATTCGCGGATCAACTTTTAAAAAAATCCATCAGTGTTTTTTGATTAATAGGTTCTATGTTCTTTTGTTTTTTCCTTCTGAGTGATGTTGGGTCATATAACAGTACTTTCTAATACAAGTATCATTCAGTTGTATGTGAAAAGTGGAGAAGTTATAGTAAAATTTAGATGCTTACTAAGTGAACATAACAGGTTGCTTTTTCAGATATCCTGGGTTTCCTTTTTTTTGTTGATAGTTTGAACTTCGAAGGTGGAAAAGATTCTACCATAACCTATCCCTTCTATCTGCCTTTGATATTGCTGTAGAGATGTTTACTGGTGGCGACCACTAGATAAAACGAAATTCGGGATTCTCGTTGTCTAAATTGCATCAAACACAATTTCTTTGAATTGCTACACATGACAGGATACCACCTCACTCTCTTTGCTTGGAAGAAATGTTGCTCGCTCTCGTAAGATGTCTCCTGATGCTGAGAATCCTAAAGTTCATTGTCCTCAGGGATTGTCCGGTAGCTTGCTCTTTATATGATATTCTTGGAATTCCAAGCAAGGAACCCTTTCTTTTCCTCTGGTGTAACGTCTTTGACAGGAATAACTCAAATCTCTCTCGTTTCTCTTCTCCTTTGGCATCCACGGGCTACCTTGTTTGCCTGTGGTAGTTGAAATTTTGGAAATAGAGGACTAAAAGAATATTTGAAGGGCTATCTGACCCGACCCTATTCAGATTCTTTCAAGCTTTTCCTTCTCAGTGGATTGAGCTTTTTCACTCTTGAACAAAGAAAGGTTGTGTTACCCCCTCGATTGGAACTCGGGAACCACTTCACGGCGGCCAAGATGGGACTAATTTAGATACTAACTTGCACCCTTAGGCTCCACTCATTGATGATTGCAGGTCCTGAGTAGCAGACCGAGCTGCAGCTAAAGAGACAGCCTTTGGATATTCTCTTGCAACATTTTCTGCTGTTCCTAACTCTCTGTGCAAGACTCTTTCGCAGATATGAATGGCATTTCATGCCCTCAATATCTTACTTCATGAATTTAACATTTCTTTCTCACTTATAAATTTTCTACCTTGAAATTTGCCTAAGTTTATACCGGTAATTTTTATTGACAAAGTATTTTGAGACAGTTATATTATTATCTGATAACTTATTTCATCACTTCATGCTAATCTCAACTCCAAATTGAAGATTGCAATAATAAATAAACTTATTTATCAAGTTAATACATTTCTCTGTGACATTGTCTCCCTTGCTCACAATGTGACAAGCATTGTCAAGCAATACATCCCTTTTTTTTTGGGGATAAGCTAAATTTCACATTATCCAAAGTAAGGAGGAGGCCTGCTACTATGAGTACTAGTCTGCTTAGAGAAGCAGTAACTAGAATGTATAGCAAAACTCACTACAAAGAAGAGCAGTTTCACAGTTACATACAGCCACAAATCAATAAGGAAACAAAAGTCAGATAAGAAAACAGGAAACACTTGCGCTTGCCAACGAGGGATAACCTTTATATTTCCTAGCTTTCTGTCCGGAGGCTACTGTTGCAGAGGTTAGAGGGATGCCATTCTCTTGTTGCTATATAATTTGTAAATACCACATTTCCTCACAGAAAGAATGGATTTCTACCATTGAATTATGCTTTTGTTGTTTGTGCTTGGTGAATTAGTATACCCCGTGTGTCATTCTGAAAGCACATCATGTAAAATAGTTAGATTTTTATTATCTGAATTATCGACTGTAACTTTGTTAACAGGCATCATGAAAAACTTTATTAACAAAATATTTTGGGGTCTGTAAAATTTATTAAGTTATTTCATCAGTTCATTTTTATGTAAACTCCAAACCGAAGATAACAACCATAAATTAGTGACCCACTGTGAATCGAACTACGAAGATTAAGACTTGAACTGAACTTTTGAAAATAAATGATACCAATTAATTGATTGTATAGAATTATAAGCTTTGATTTAGAAAAAGTGCTTGGCGCAAGGCCAGGGTCATGCATCAATAAATCAATTTGTCTCTACAAAGCAGGGAGAGATAAGAAAAGGTTTATCACAAAAAAAAAAAAAACTGATCCTCCAGACATTAATAAGTCCGTCTATAATAGATTACGTTAATCAATTGTAAAGTGATGATAACTGCAGAAGAATAAGAATATGAAAAATCACAACTAGCAACCAACAAATTTGAAGAATATGAAAAATACCCAGCAAGCAGCCCTCATATTACCAACAACCACATCAAGTATAAACACCTCAAAATCACAAATCCTCAATATGTTTTGTTCAATCATAGATAACTAGAAAATTTTCAAATCTAAAAGAGAAGAAGGAGAGTAAAGCATATCTGGGTAAAGGAAGAGAGATTTGCCAGCTGAGGAAGCTTTGGTAGAAAACTAGTGTATTTCATAAGGTTTAAACATCTCACATTACTAAAGTACATAAAAGTGTGAGTGTTTTAAATAAGTAAGCACAATATAGATTTGTTGCAAAAAAGAAAAAGAAGTGTCTTGGCACACACATGAGATTGGGCTAGGCCTTGAGAAAATTCAAATTTCCCTTCATGAGATATGGGCTAAGCTCAAGTGAATTTTTTGTACCTTAGTCTTAATTTATTTTTTAAAGCTTTTTTAGCTTTGATTGAATCGAACTCAAACTCTCCATGCTAATGACTCTCCAATGTCTATCTGACCAACTACTCTACCATGTTGATGACTTTCTTGATTTTGCTACCATGTATATCTTACTAAGTATACATGCTAACCAAATGTCTCTCAACTCCCTGATTTAATACAATGCTCACTTCATTCCCTGTCTATAAATACAGCCTCCTTACCTCACTCACAACACATCAAAGCCTCTCATCTTTGCTTAAGTTTTCTCTGTTTATTTTCTATTTGCTTTTCTTTCTAGTTGTGTTTTTTCTTTCTAGTTGTGTTTTTTTCTAGGAGTTTTTTTTTTAGCGTGGGTGGAAATTTTACAAGGATATGGGTTTTTTTTCGTGAACTGTAAAATCTTTTTCCTTTTGCATCTCATTTCCAGTTTTCCAATCACCACTATGTCTTTGCAAATATTTTTAGAAAAAGCTTACTGCAAAAGAAAAGGACCTAAATATCATATTTAACGAAACACTAAATATTTCAAAAAAAATTATCGAATTATATTTTAAAGTGTAAGAATCCGACCGCTATGCGTATCAAATTTTAGACATCACAGGCCTAATTTACTCTATACTATGATTTACTCTGCAGGAGCAGCGTGGAGCGCAGTCACCACTTTCGTTTGTTGGGTGAGGTTAAGTATGCTCATTTTTTAAATATATTTCTGCTTTTGCACTAGTTTGTTTAGTGTATAAATCTTTTCTCCAACTTATATTTGATTGTTTCAGGTGTAAACTGATGGAAGCGGTCTAATGTCCCGGCTGTTGTGAGAGGGACAAATCCTATGCATGACATGCTGTATCTGATGTGCTTGTGACTGAATTTATGGCGAAGCTTGATGATGACAACGTTGTGAGCAACGTGGACCTCACCAGCTTTAAAGATTTAGAAGGAAAGCGCAAAAAAGTAGGCAAGTATAGTATCCCACCGTCTCTGGTCTCTACTGCGGAGGATATCATCAAGGCCTATGCTGATATTACGAAAAATTGCAAATTCAGCCCTAGTATTATTGAAACTATTTATGTTTTGTTTGTGCTGGCATCAAAGAGATGGGTGGGCTGTCGCTTGAACAAGTTACCGAAGAGGTTATGTTGAGGTGGAGAGACGCAATCACGGATGCTATGAAACAGTTGAAGAAGATTGCTTATGGTTACTTTGACCACGATAGCTTGAAACAGAGGATGACAAATCTAAAGTCCAAAGAAGATGTCTTGAGAAAGGAGCTTGAAGGCCGTTAAAGCCAAAGAAGGAGACCTAAGATCTGAGAAATGCAAGGTGTGTCAGAATTTGCGGATTAATTTTTGACAAAACTGTCAGTGTCTTTTGATTAATTGGTCCTCTGTTTTTTTTTTTTTTAATTTTGAGTAATGTTGTGTCACATATCAGTGCTTTGCAGTAGAAGTTAAATCATTGAGTTGTAGGTGGAAAGTAAAGAAGTTGATACCAGTAAGAGTAGAGACTTAAGGCTGTTAGTTTTTTTAGAGAAATCTTCATATTTCTTTATTTTTTGTAATTTATTACTGTTATTAGTTTGCTGAGGAAAAGCAGCAAGACTGCAAAAGAGAAAGAAATTGAGGCTCTGATTTCTTGATTAGTTTAGATGCTTAGTCAGCGAACATAGTGCTGTTAATATCTGAAAAATCGATGTAAACGAATAGAACTGTTGTTTATATACATAGAGCATAACAGTTTGGTTTTTCAGGTGGAAAAGATTCTAATATTTGGTCTTTATCCTCAAATGGGATCCTGTCCCTTCTATCTGCCTTTTAAAATTGCTGTAGAGATGCATACTGGTGGTGACTACCAGATAAAACGAAATTGGGGTGTCTCGTTGCCAAAGTTGCATCAAACACTCTTTGAATTGCTACATATTACAGGATACTAACTAACTCTCTTTTGCTTCGGAGAAATATTGCTTGCTCTTGTAATATCTCTCCTGATTCTGACAATCTAAAGTTCATTTTCCTTAGGGATTGTTTCGGTAGCTTACTCTTTATGGGATATTCTTGGAATTCCAAACAGGGAATCTTTTCTTTTCCTCGTGTAAAGTCTTCGACTGGATGAACTCAATCCTCTCTCGTTTCTCTTCTCCTTTGGCATCCACGGACTACCTTGTTTGCCTGTGGTGGTTGAAATTTTGGAAATGGAGGAACTAAAAGAATATTTGAAGGATTAGCCGACCCAAACCTATTCAGATTCTCTCAAGTTTTTCCTCCTCAGTGGATTGAGTTTATCCACTCTGGTACAAAGAAGGTTTGAATTACCCCCTTGAGTGGAACTTGAGGACCACCGCACGGCGGCCATGATGGACACCTGAATGTGGAAGTTGAAGTTGAGGGTACTCTGGTGATTCATCTTATTCACAATGCTGATACTAACTTGCATCTTTAGGCTCCCGCCATTGATGATTGCAGGTACAGAGTTAGCTGACAGAGCTGCAGCTGCTCTGGCCATCAAAGAGACAGCCTTTTGATATTCTCTTGCAACATTTTCTGCTGTTCCTAACACTCTGTACAATTTGCAGGTATTAATGGGATTTCATCCCCAATTTAACATTTCGTACTTACAAATTTTCTACCTTACAATTCGCCTTATTTTATACTATTTACTTTCGAAGCGAAAACATCATACAAACGCCTCTGGTTGGGGCATAGTCTCCAATGGTCAGGTTTCTGTCACTAAATTATCCTCTTCGATCTATAAAACAGGCATACCAGTAGTTCTTACTGACAAAGCAGTTTGAGACAGTAATACTTATTATCTGATAACTTATTGCATTCATTCATGCTAATCTGAACTCCAAATTGAAAATTACAATAACAAATATCTGATAACTTCTTTCAGGCTCAGGGTGTCAGGGTGAAGCCCTTTTCTCGTTTGAATTCTGGAAGAGGACCCTCCCTAGAATTGGGTGGTGAAAACTGAAAAGGTACATCCCATAAAAATCAATACACCAGCAAGCCACAGTAATTCTAGAAATCCACCAAAGGTCTTCTAATCAAACAGCAAGAAAACTCATCCAGCTGCAGTATATAAAATTTTCAATTTTCAAAGTTCTTCCAATTGGCCCAAATTGCTGCAAAAGCTCACCTATAAAAGATGCAAAACCAGAAGCTTATAACAGCAGAAAACAAAAACCAAATGAAAGATTACTAGCAATTCAAAGTTTCAAACTTTCAACTTCATTAACAGTATTTGGATTAATGGGATGCACAGAAATCATTGTTAACCTTAAAATCCTACACATATTTTTGAGTTTGCAGTTCGATGCCCAAAACAGCTAACCAGATAATGAAGCCAATTGATGAAAAACATTATAGAGAAACTACAAATAAACAACAAAAAGAAATCAGAAACTAATTAACCCCATTAGCAGACACAGTTTCCCCCAGTATCTCCATAATCTGCTGCTGCATCAAGTCAGCCTTCTTAGCCACCAATTTAGCTTCTTCAACCTTTATAAATATCCACTCTTGATCCATCTGCCTCAGCTTCTCCTCTTCCAACCCCTTCATCCTCTCTTTCCACACCTCATTTTCAGGCAAAACCCTCGAAAACTCAGCCACCAAATAAGGAAACTTCTCCAAATTCCGCACCCAATTTCGCTCTCCGCTACCCGTTTCCTCTTCTACCTTCTCATTGTTCGTTGCGGATATTTTCTTGCCCCATATTCTTTTTGACAGCTTGAATATTCTTCGGTCGTGATGGGTTCTTACGAGGGACTTGTTTCTTGCATGTTTATGGTACTTGAGTCTCAGTCTACGGAGCTTATCGTTGATTTGGGAAGGAGTGAACTTGTAGTTGAGACGCTTGATGATGCGGTTGATTGTTCGGGTACCAACGGCTGTGATTGGTGGAGGAATGGATTTGGTGGCTCTGAACAAACATTTCAGAATCTGGATTTCGTCTGATTCGCTAAAAACTCTTGAGGACCTGCCGTTCGGAGTGGTGGAAGGAGGTGAGGTTGCCATGGCGAGACGGGAATCGGAAAGTTTTTGGAACTTTGAACGAAGTTCCAATTTCGTTGATGATTGGAATAGAGTGTATAACACATACAAAAGTGTTTTATGGACCGGGAACTAGCCTACTAAACCCAAACCTTTTAAACCCTTAAACCTTAAGCCCAATTAAACCCCAAAACCTTAAACCCATGAAACCATAAAAAACTCTTGAATCACCGAAACCCAAAAACCTTAAACCCTTGAACCACCCAAACCCTAAGCCCTAAATACAAAGCCCTATACCCTAAACACTAAAATCCTAAGCCAAAACCCTAAACCATTCAACTCTTAACTTAATTTGTGAAATGCATCTTTATATAAGTGGGTATAAAGTTTCTTGGCCAAAAAATTTTAAGGGGGGGGTGGCGGGGGAAGCTCTGAAGTTTGAGAGTTGAATTGAACTGTTGAAGTACTAAAAAGTACACATTTGAAGATTAAAATTAAAATCATACTAATTAGCACTGCCCATTTAATATGAACCTAAGGATTTAAAATTAAAATTAAAAATAAGAAATCATACTATTTGAAGAACTCTGAAGTTTCGACTTTTGGGCTAGGACGAGTATAAGGATTATCCTTTATGAGTGAGATTAGTTCACCTTGGTCCAGCCCATTTAAAATGGCTCTTTGACACCCATACGAGCTCACTGTCTCATGGCTGTCTGCCATCTCCAGGACTGCAATTCTACACCTGTGTCAGTTCAGTAATCACAGCGCTTCAAAACTCCATTCCTCCTTTTTTCTTGTCCTGTTCAGTCGAATTGAGAGTGTCTTAAACTCCCAATTCATTTCCATTCAGGTAATTAATTTCAGAGTCAACAACCCCCTTTCCCAAATGGGTTTCAAATAAATCTTGTTTAAATTTTCTTTCTTCCTAATTTTTTTAATTTATCTTTATCCTTAAAAAGCGATTTGTTTTCCTTGTTTTATGATCACTTAGTGATTCTTGAAGTGGGTTTTTGTCTGATACTTATATGCTTTGGTCATTTGAGAGCAATAAACTACGATAATTTCAGGCTTGGCTCTACGAGTTCGAATATGGTGTAGTTTTAAGTTGATTTCTTTGTATTCTTCTGCTTACTTTTCCGTTAGAATTTACAATAAAAAGATAAAAAAGAGAAAGCAAGTAGAACTAAAAGTTTTGGATGGTGAAAGTTAGTGTCTTGTAATGGAAATCCCCCATTTTCAGGACTGGTTGGGTGATCGCACGTTACAATTTCAAAAGGGTAGTAGTGAATTGTGGTAATTATGGTGTAGAAAGTTGCTGAGGCCAATTGTCTTAGCACATACAAGCATGCTTGCGCTGGAAGTTGAGGCACGCTTTGCGGGAATATTGGTAATCATTTGTATAAATCTTATGTGGACAGTGGAAAGTTTTGTGCTTCATGTGCCTGTGGTAATCAGCGGCAGTCAAGACCTGCTGAGCTAGTTTACTTAGAGTTGCAGGTTAGTCATTAGGAGTTGTTGTTAGCTTGTTGGTAACATGCAATGAGCTTATCAAGCTGGCACTTCTCTTGCTTCTTTAGATCAGTGCTTCTAATGCTCCTAAGAATGAACTCAGCTGTTCTAGTTTATAATTAGCCCTCGTTTGCTGTTTTATGGGTAGTTTGAGTTAGTATATGCAGTTCTTGAATATTACTTTATGGGTTAACATGTAAAATTTCATATTGATAATGGAAATGACAATAAGTTCTTTTACTTGTTAGGTCTCAGTTAATTGTTTTTAACTTCATTTGGAAAGTTGCAATGACACGAGCACGCAATGTTGTAGTTGCCGCTGGCTTACTAGCTTTTGCAGCTGCAGGCTTAGCATTTCCATTTTATATGGCGTAAGTATACTTCTTTCTATGACAATGTGTTGTTGTATAGTTAAGAACTATATTTGTCAACCTGCAAAAGTTGATTATGGGTTTTGTATCATCCAGGACATCTAAGGGACCTGTGATTGACTCATCTAAGCCACTTCCCCCACAGGCGACTTTCCGAGGGCCTTACATAAATACTGGTTCACGTGATGTTGGACCTGATCATCAGACTTACCCAAAGAAATGATTATTTTCCTGGAATAACTGGTGTTGGCTGTAAGTAAACTGTCTGCTCATTTGTGCACTGTGTGACTTGAAGATGTGTTTGAAATTGGGCACTCTTTTGGACTAATGGATGTCCCTTTGGATACTGGCCTAGAAATTCGCTTAGCTCCCCACAGCAAAATGAGTAATAGCTTGTTTTTTTTTACTCATGGAAAAAGTAGAGAATATCACATTTATTATTTTGTAAGAACTCAAATGTGAGAAGTATGACAAAATTATCAGCTTCTGCTTCCATTATCTGAAGTGGAATATAAAATTGATTGTGTGCAAGTTTTCCGGAATATTTTATGCTTGGAGGCGCCAGGATAATCTTGTCCCAGTGCACTTGGTAAGAGTTCCTATGGTTGCAGCTGATAGCTTGATCTGTATCCTTCAGTATACATTTAAATCAAAAACTTTGTTTTGCTTTTCTCTGTTGAAATCAAGGACATAACATGAATAGAAAAAGAGAAAAGATGGAAAAATTGAGCATTGAGCAACTGATGATGGGAGGCTTGTAGTGAATTTAAGTCATTTGTTATTTGGTGGCCTCCTGGTCTAACAATGCACCCAAAATGCCTGTTCTTATTTCTATTAGTGTGCAACTTTTAAATATTGCATTGTAGGTAAAAGTGCTCAAGGAGTTGTTTGCCCATTTGACTGATGCTACCCAGGTGTGTTTGATATTTATGGCCAAGGAATGGTTCACAATTTTTTTCAATCAATGTGTCCATAAAAAGCCTTCTGAGCTGATGAAGCCTAGGATTTGTGTGCAAGTTCTCTAAGGGTGGATAACTAATTATCTGCCTCATGCTCATGTTAATTTTGGAAGTTTCTGCTGATGCATTTTACCGTTGTGCTCTTGTCCATTTTAGAAGTTTCTGTGGATGCATTCTTGTTCCTTCAGGTTTTCTAGTTTTATACATACAAAGCTTGCCCATTCTGTCAATTTATTGCTTCACGGTTTGCTGCCTGTGCTCTCATCTTACTACCATCACTTCTTAAAGAGAAAATTGTGTATGTTGTTCTAACAACATTTATATCTTTAGTGAAAGAGGAAAATTATGCTAACCAATTCTTGTGAATGCCTTTGCATCGTATCATGGCTCATGGGGATCATTAGATCTCATTCTTCTGCTGAATTATAGATATAGAGTCATGAATCAACTGTTTGACTTTTTGGAGACTTTGTGGCATCAATTTATTAAATCAACATCTCACAGAAATTTTTGTTACCAAAATTTTCCTCAACACTATTCTAGGTGTTCCAACTCATCATTATTCTCCCTCTTTTATATGGTTCTTTTTTAGATGCTGATGATCCTTCCCCCACTCCTTTCATTTGCCTGTTCTTCATTAACATACCACTCTCTCTATAGTTAAGGCCATGCCTATATTATTTAAGTTATGCTCCAGGTAGTTTGGTGGATATGTTAAAGTAATCAATATCCATATCTAGGGCTTGAAGAGTTTTGTTTCCTTGGACCACTCATTTAATGTAAGTTATCAGTTATCAGTTTCCATTATTTGGTTTGTAAATTGCGTAGGCCAGAGGGAAGAAAGGTTATTTACCCTAAATTATTCTTCTGTTTATTTTGACTCCCTGAAAAACATCTTCAAGGGCTGTTTCACTTATGAAGTTTGCCAATTTTCTAGTGACATTGAATCCTTCCGCAGTGGAACTCCATTTCTGCTTTACTGCCAATGGGCACAATCTGCTTTATTTCGCTCTGGGAATGGATTGAACTTTGTTTTTGGTTGGGTATTGTATAATTTATGCTCTAATAATATAATTAAAAGACTAATGGGAGAGCAATTATATTTGTTTGTGTTTACAGAAAATAACAAGGGCAGCAAAAAGAGTCAAATAAGAAAAATGTCAGGGTGCTCAACTTCACACGTGCCAAAACGACTCAGTTTACGTGTCAAATCTTTCCTTCTACCGACGCCACGTAATTTGGAACTATTGCCGTTAACAGCGTTAAAAGTTGTGGCTGTAATGCCATATCGGATGCAAACAGTCTTTTGGTCAGTATCCCAAACGGCTAATCACCTGTAAGTTCCATTCCAACAATGGCAACAAGTCATCCAAGTGCCACACACCATCACGTGTCTTCATCCATTGGCTGTTGGCAAAAGCCTAGCAATGAGAGAAAGCACAGGATACTTCCTCCCAGCGCGACTTCAATGGTTTTAGAGCTTTCGCTGTTTGGTCTTAAAACCGAAGACATTTCCAGACCCACCATTGCAAACTTGCACGCAAGCTTCTCTTTTTTTTTTTCTTTTTCTCATCTTTGCTTAAAAGGAAAAAGAACCCAATTTTTCTTTCTTTTAAGAGTCTCAAATCAATTAAAGAAGCTGGAATTCTAGCACGACCTAAGAGGAGAAAACATCAGTAAAGGTAGAAGAATGGCTGTTTTTCTAGCTACTACTACTTCCACTGCCAATATAGCAGCTTCTTTTATTGCATCTTCACAGTCAAGCAAAAGCCATCCTTTTATATATCGAAGGAAGAACCTTACTCCAAGGAGAATTACGAAGCTTACACCTTTAAACGTGGCAGCTCCTCCATCATCATCAGCAGCATCACCAACTTCAGATCAAAAACTAGAGGAAGAATATAAAGTAGGTGATGAGTTTGGTGAAGAGAGTTCAGAGGCTAAGTTTTCATGGAAAGATCATTGGTACCCGGTTTCCTTGGTTGAAGATTTGGACCCAACCTTACCAACCCCATTTCAGCTTCTGGGTCTTGACTTGGTGCTTTGGTTTGATAAAGGAAGGAACGAATGGGTTGCTTTTGATGATAAATGTCCCCATAGGCTTGCTCCTTTATCTGTAAGTTTCTTAATTCTCTGTTTTAATCAGACCCTGGTTGCCACTTATTTGGTTTTTAATAAACATGAAGAATTTGGATTAAATTTCTATTTAACAATATAGTGCGTACAACATTTAAACTTTTTTAAGCCTTCTAGTCATTTTGTAAAATTGGTTTTAGAATTCAATATAGCCCATATTATTTATTGGACACTCTATTGGTTTCTTTGAATTTGCAGGAAGGACGGATAGATGAAAATGGCCACTTGCAATGTTCGTATCATGGATGGTCTTTTGATGGATGTGGATCTTGCACTAGGATACCTCAGGCTGCCTCTCAAGGTCCTGAAGCTCGGGCAGTTCAGTCTCCAAGAGCATGTGCTACTAGGTTTCCCACAATGGTGTCTCAAGGCCTGCTTTTTGTATGGCCTGATGAGAATGGTCAGGAAAGAGCTAGTGCAACTAAGCCTCCAATGTAATTGACAGCTAATTTTTATTTCTGTTAATGGTTCATTTACTAGATCAAGTACTGGACTAGATGATCTGGGTGAATATCTTGATGAAACATCATTGCTATGGTTAATTTTCAGGTTGCCTGATGACTTCGAAAAGCCTGAGTTTGCAACTGTGAATATTCAGCGTGATCTGTTCTATGGCTATGATACCCTCATGGAGAATGTCTCTGATCCTTCCCACATTGATTTTGCTCATCACAAGGTACTTTTACTAGCTTTACAATATTTAGTTGATTTACATGGGTTAGATGCTATTACAAGATGCATCAAGCTATAGTGTAGACGATATTGAAAGATTCATTATTTCCAAGTGAAACAAAGTGTTGTGCAGCATGCCATGGTCTTGTGGATGGCACATTTCCTAGCTAGGTTAAAATTTTATTTTTGGTGTATTTTAGTATAAAGCAGATGGCAAGCTAATAGTACCTGGTCAGCAATTTGTTCTGATGTTGAGGGACCAAGTAACTTTTGAGATGAGGCTTCCTTGAAGTTTTAAGTTTTATTTTTACAAACAAGCTTTTCAAGATTGGGGTTTTAACCCCTGAAAATAAAAAAGTTATAAGCTTAAAATATCTGTGTATGCCTGTGTAATTTCTTGCTTTCTACATATAATTAGGTTAAATTGAGATCAAAATCTTATATGCATATTTCAAACATCTCTTTTGGTACTAGACCAATTTTTCAATTTTCTGTACCGATTTGGCAATATATAATTTTGAAACACACTAGTTCTTATAGGGTTTGTAATGTTGTTTTAATCCCTAGTCTTAGTTGTTGGAAACGAATAAAGTTGCGAAATGTAATACATCCATTGCTGACAACATTTTTGCTCCATTCAACACAGGTTACAGGGAGGAGAGACCGAGCCAAACCTTTGCCGTTTAAGGTGGAGTCTAGTGGCCCCTGGGGCTTTGGTGGATCAAATGAGGGTAATCCAAAGATCAGTGCTAAGTTTGTTGCACCATGTTATTATATGAATAAGTAAGTTAATTACCCTTTTTTAAGATTTAAAATTTCAATGCATGGTTGACGAACTTCTTTTTCATGTTACTGAAAAGTTTCATAAATTTGATATTTGTATGTCAGGGCATACCCCATAGCATTATCAAGAATTTATTTGGTATCTTGTGCTGAGACATATGTTTCAAAAACTGATCTAGGATTATTCTTAAAACACTTCCTCATGCCAAAAGTTATTGCCAAAGGCTTGCCTTTCAAAAAATTTCTTTTAAGTCTATTCTGCCTTTCTAGTCTGCTGCACATCTTTCAGATGCATAATCAATTTTATTTTGATAAAGATGACCTAATTGCTTTCACACTGATTGCAGCTTAGGTCAGCTAATGACTTATTGTTTCTTGTATTATTGTCCTTAAAATATTGTTGAATATCTTTCAAATTTATCGTACTTGTGCCATCTTTCCCCACAGAATAGAGATAGACACAAAGCTTCCGATAGTTGGTGAGCAGAAATGGAAGATATGGATATGTTCATTCAATGTACCAATGGCTCCAGGGAAGACACGATCAATTGTTTGTAGTGCTCGGAACTTCTTCCACTTTACAGTACCAGGACCTGCCTGGTGGCAGGTGAGCACTGTTTCATTGCGCTCATATGCACATGTTTATGTGTGATGTTGCAGTTATATGGGGATCTTTACTCCTATTTTCTTTTATGACCTTACTCCTTTTCGACATAAATTATGCTTGTAGCTTATTTCAAGGTCAATGCGGGCTATTTTATTGTTTTGGTTTCTTTGAAATATACAAAACATTTCGTAATCTGGTGTTAGAATTACTTGAACAGAGCCATAATCTGAGATTTTTCTTTCAAATGGGAATGAGTAGATCTGTGCCTGAGGAATTGTAATGTGCTAGGAAGTTTTGGATGAGAAATCACAGATTCATAAGGATGTCTTCATGAACAAAAGACTGGGGTATGCTAAATTGAAAGATTAACCAGAAACTTTCCCCTCATCTGCTTGCTGTAGCTAATGATAGGGTTAAGGTCATCAAACATCTAGGTTCCTAATCAGAGCTTCACATTAAGGGAAAAGCCTTGATGTAAGTACTCAAGTTATGCTATGCCACATTCTGTATAAATTATTGAGTCTCATTTGTGGCTTCTCGTGTCAGGTGGTTCCTAGATGGTTTGAACATTGGACTTCAAACAAGGTCTACGATGGAGACATGATTGTACTTCAAGGACAAGAAAAGATCTTTCTCTCAAAGTCAATGGAGAGTTCAGAAGATATAAACAAGCAGTACTCGAAGCTCACATTTACACCCACACAAGCCGACCGCCTTGTCCTGGCATTCCGAAATTGGCTGAGACGTCACGGCAACAGTCAACCTGAATGGCTCAGCTCCAGCCCCCAGCAACCTCTCCCATCAACAGTATTATCAAAACGCCAGGTAATACAAACTTGTAACTTACCGTACTGATACTCACAACAGCTTCTTTGGGCATATTCTTAAAATTTTCCCTTTATCATTTGCAGATGTTGGATAGATTTGAACAGCACACTCTTAAGTGTTCATCATGTAAACAAGCTTACACATCATTTCGAACATGGCAAAAGATCCTAATTGGCGCAACTGTTGCATTTTGCGCAGTAGCCGGCATTCCTTCCGATATCCAGTTCCGGATCGTTTTAGCTGTGCTTGCATTGGTTTCTGCTGGCTTGGCATTCGCATTGCATGAAATACAAAAGAACTTCGTTTTTGTTGATTATGTACATGCTGAAATTGATTAGAACAAGTTCAAAACTTCGGATTGTATTTTGCAGTGTAAGCTGAATGTTAAAATACTGAGAAATTTAGTGTATATAGAAAGAAATTAGAGTAATTTGAAAAGATTAGCAAATTTCCATTTAAGCTCTGGAAATTACAAAAGACACAAAATTAAACATACTAATTTTTACAAAGTTAAAAACCAAGTAAAACCCCCAAACCACCTTTACCCCCAACCTAAGAACTAGTAAACTTAGTGACAGCCTTTGTCCCTTCCGAAACAGCGTGCTTAGCCAACTCTCCAGGCAGAACCAACCTCACAGCCGTCTGAATCTCGCGAGAAGTAATCGTCGGCTTCTTGTTATAGCGAGCGAGCCTCGCGGCTTCCTGAGCGAGCTTCTCGAAAATGTCGTTGATGAAACTGTTCATAATCCCCATCGCCTTGCTCGAAATCCCGATATCTGGGTGGACTTGCTTCAAAACCTTGAAGATGTAGATCTTGTAGGTTTCCACGCTCTTCTTGGCTCGCTTCTTTTTCTTGTCGCCGGCTTCTTTGGGGAGTTTCTTCTCTGCGCGAGGCTTTTTCTCGGCGGCTGGGGCCTTCTCGGCCTTTTTCTCTTCCGCTGGCTTTTTCTCGGCGGGCTTCTTCTCGGCTTTTGGTGCCATTGGTAATTGATTTCAAGGACTTGTTAGGCTTTTAGGGAAGGATATTAGAAAATGTTGTGATGGAATGAGGAACACAGGAACTGAAACGTAATATATAGGGAAGAGGGGTGTCATTCGATTTGTTGGTTTTGGTGTGCGAGGATCGGTGACGTGGAAAGTGCCGGCCGTTGGATTTAGGAGGATGGGATTGGACGGAGAGGATTGGGTCTTGTCGTCTTCCTGGTTTAAGAATTTAAGCGGGATTTTGTTTCGTTCCCGTTTTTTAATTTTGTGCCAAATTTTCAATGTTTCGCGGGTAAGAGTGGTGGCTTTGTGTGAAGCGAACCGTAAAGGAGATGAAAATACGAGAACCAGTTTTATGTCTCCACGTGGCGTGTGAAGAAACGTTTTCTCGCCTTACCACAGAAAAATACGTTTCTTTCTTATTTTTCAGCTTTTTCCATAAACATTTTTTTACCTTAAAGGGTAATCTAATTAATTTTCTCCCATTTAGTTGTTTTTTTATTTTAATTATTATTCTCACCAAATTTAAGAAAATTTAGTAATGACAATTTATTATAATCAACATCCTAATAAGTGCATATAAACACTTTTTAATCTATTTTCCCCTCTTATTATAAACATAAAATTAATAGTTAAATTTTTACCAAAAGATTGATTCAATTAATAAATTTATGTTTAACTGGATGTAAGTGATTTTGGATTTAAAATTTAATGAGAAACTCCTTGTTGGCACTAATCTTGAGTAGATAATAATTTTTATGAGAATCTATACATCTTATTTTGGTTAAGAAATTGAATAATTAATTCATTTATTTTGGATTTTTGAAAAAAATCAATATTTAGTATTCTTTGACGATAATAAACATTTACTCATAGTATTTGAGGTAGGTCATATTAATCTTTGCATTTATGATTCAAATATATAAGTTGGTATATTTTTAAACTTAAATGTTATATCTATTCATACGAAAACTTATAGTTTTTCATATAAAAAATTGTGATTATTGAAAAGACATGTCAATTGAAAAATTATTTTTTATAGTGTGGTTATTAAATTATTAGTGGTTTTTTATATAAAAAATTATAGTTTTTAGTAAAGTGATATTTGAAAAAACACTTCTAAATTAAAAGATTATAAAATAATTGAAAAACACCTCTACTTAAAAGTTATAACTTTTCATATTATTACTTAAAGGCTATGTCTTATGTTATGAATTGTTATCATTTAATAAAGTAATTATTGGAACAATACATTTATTCAAATGTTATGTCTTATAACATGCAAAGATATGTTTAAGACATAAAAGTATCATAATGAAAAAGTTGTGTCTTTAAAAATGAAGCACTTGCAAAATTTGTATAAAGGACTTGTTGACAATCATTTTGACATATAACAAGGCGAGCAAAAAAAATAAGAACAAGAGAATGTGTTTTGTTTTGAAAAAAAATTTAGAAAAAGGTATAAATATTTTGAGTTCACACCGTTTATCAAAGTATACAAATTTCTTATAATATACTTGTTACAGAAAATAAACTCTAAGATCAAACAATTTTACAATCCTTGGATGCGTTTAGCAGTCTACTATAATAAATGTAAAATAAAATTAGATGTCTATTTCATTGTGTCTAAAACTATTCGCATAGATCAATTTTACACACCGAGTGATGGGAATAAAATAAATTTTAAAGATAACATTTACAAAAACATACCTTAAAGTTAATTTTTTTTTTAAATTCTAACTAAACTCCATTTTTAACAACAATATATACATGTTCGCGCATACATAAGTAAGAAAGTCTCTATAAAAGATTTGACTTTGTTCATGTCCAGATAAAGATTAAGCCATTAATCCTATAAATAGCAAAAGCTTCATGGGACATATCGAAAACTAAACATTAATTCTTAAATATTCATAACAATTCTATCATGGAATTAATTCCTTATAATATACATTAAAAATCGAGATCCTTTTTGTTGAATGATTTCTTCGCAATCACTATATTGCTAGCTAGTGATGAAAGTTGCAGAAAAACTAAAGGATATTAACCAGTAGTTAAAATATTTGTTATTTTAGAAATATTTTATCTTGAAACTTATTCTTTGATAATACATTTGAATTTTATTAAATATTTGATTAGATTGAAATTATTATTGTTTAAATATTCTAAACAATACTCGTTAAATACATGAATCCATTTTATTATCCGACTAAAATAAATCTAAAATCAATTTTTATATGTATTATTAATGAAAATTGAATTAATAAATTAAAAGTAGTTCATATATAAAAATAAATTAAAGTTTAAAATCATATTTATAATGGGATAATGGGTATCTTAAAACTATTACTCGAATCTAATTATAAGATACCGTGATCTTACTTAATTGAATCGAAAAATGTAAAATATCTAATTACAAATACCCATTAATATGTCTAAAAATTTTAAATTTGATCATGTATTGATAATATATCCATGTGACAAAAAATGGCCAACATATAAAGTTTCCATAGATGATTTGGGATCGAAAACCTTAAAAATAATCAAGCATACTAATTACTCACAACCCTTAGATGACTCAAAACAAAACATTAATCCAAAAAAATCTACTAGTAATTAATAATGTCCGTGAACTCAAAATGAAGAAAGAAAATAAAATGTGAAGTAGCTTTACCAAGGCCAACTCTGCCCTTCTTTATTAGTAATATTAGAAATGAAGCAAATTAATTCATTAACATCAAATAATTTACTTGGGAAAAGTCATAACAATTAAGATTAAAAAAATTATAGTCCTGATCAACTTCTCATTGCAGTAATAACAGATAACCACAAGTACTTTGGTGCTTGTAATGGCATAGAACTCCTTATATAGTCTCTTGAAAGCATTGGCTATTATAATATAACAAAAAGTATCATAAGGTTAAATGGAAAATATGGAAATTAAATACATATATATAGTGTAAAAAGGTGATTTAGTTACCCAAGTATACATTATAACGATGGATGTGGTTACCTATACATATATAAACTCGATAAGGCCACAGGTTTCAATTACTTAAATTTCAAAACTATCATAACTATATATATAAAAAAAACAAAATATTACTACTATAAATTCTATACATGGAATTCAATGTTTCAGTTAAAACTCAGAACTGAAAATATGGGGAGGAAAACTACAAGAAAATTAAAGTAGGAAAAAGAAACTGTGATATACAGGGTACATATATATAGCTCATGGCAAAATGTATGATGCTTTCGAATTCTTCTTTACAGACATTAACATGCTGCCTCAAAAATGTATATCGAACTCCAATCCTTTGGAGCAAGCCTTGAAACAAAAAGAGAGACCGCAGTCCATACAGATGCGCTCTCCGTACAGGTTCTTGCTTCATTATAGTTCATCCCTTATGAATATATATATATATATATATTTATATAGACAGCGCATGGTTAAAACTTAAAACCCAATTTACTTAGAACGTGAGTTAATTAACTTCAAACCAGGTATTTTTTATTTGTGAAAGAATTATATATATATATGTGTGTGTACGTATGTATACAAGCTAAAATGCAGGAGTCTGCAATAATATTTTAGCATTTCCATTTGTTTCACTACAAATGTAACAAAATATACAAATGTTTTGATTTCAAAGTTCTGATTGTTTTGTTATTTCGTCATTTACATTAAATACAGAAGAGAAAAGCATGAATCTAATAGTATTATTTATATGCAAGTACTTCATCTTACCTATCATCTAGTTGCCTACTGGTGGGTTGGAGTTCGAGCTTTGCTGGCTTTGTCAAAGGAGTAACAACTGGACTGTGCCCAACAAACAAAGCAACGTGACCCATTAGCTTATCTTTCCTGGAAAATGTGGTACCGCAAGAACATTGCCACTTGAGATCACCGCAGTGCTTTTCATGAGTCCGGAGATCCGACAGCACTGAGAATTGCTTGCTGTTGCACCGCTTGCAAACATACATCTTGGGGCAATGGCTCCTCTTGTAGTGATTCTTCACGCAAATCATGGATTTCAGTGGTTGGAATTTGGCATGTTTCTGGTTCCACCTACAACCTTCCTGCGGACATGAGTATTTCTTAGGCAAATCCATCGAACAGTTTGATCCCGTGGCACTTCCCTCATGATGTATCTTCATGGGGTTAGTCAAAGCTGCAGTTGTCTTGTATTCATCACCATGAGCTCTCATGTGCATTCTCAAATTTGCGTCTCGCTTGAACCCTTTACCACAAACTTGGCAGTAATGTGTGTACTTAGCTAACAAGTCCGCAGCATCCACTTCAACTATATCATAATTCTTCATTGAAATCCCTTGCGACCCTTCACTAATTTCGCTTCTTCGAGGCAATTCTTGCCTAATTTCCAGCTTATCATCATTGCTAACAAGCAAACTTCGACGACTGTTGTTGTTGTTGTTACGATTATTGCAGTGATCACTATACCAGGTAATAGTTTCAGCACTAGAATAAAAGCCTTTTCCTCTTTCTTGAAATATGTTACCAACACAATTACCATGACTAAAGTTTGGTTGCTGAGATATCCCATTATTATCAGGAACCCTAACTTGCTGCTGGTGCAATTGATCAGTTGTGCTATTACTGTTACCTGCTGAAGTGGTTCCAAGAGCCATTTGCTGGCAAATGAATATCATCGAAGACGCTGTTACAATGATTTCTTGAACCAAAGAACCCATGCTTGCTATGGCTAAAGTCGTTGACTCAGGGTGGGCTTGATCTGGAGCGATAAGGATGCTAACAAGCGATTGGACCTGATGAACTTTATCTTTCAGGAGGGAGAGATTATAGAGGAGAGAGCTCGAATGAGCCTCTGGGCCTGAACCTGCTTCAAGGGGAGATGGAACAATGTCTTCAGCCACAGGATACATTGGCAAACATTCTGATGCATTGGGGAAACATGAAGCCGCCCCTGAAATCATTTTCAAACTCTTCGCTTACTAGCTATCGGCTGCCTCAAGTCGTCTCTGATGGTAGTTTTATCTACCTTTGGTTGGATTTGAATGGCACATTTCTAAAAAGCTTGTTTTGTGGGTAAGATTGATTATATAGGAAGAGGTACGTACAAGAAAGCCTTTTCGTTCTTGGAGAAGTGTGAAAACAAGCATAACATTTGTTTAAGAAATTAAGACATGGACAAAGAGAGAGCTGCTAAGTCAACTAAAGAGCTTCAATTCATCCCCAGTTAAGACCTCCCTCACATATTACTAATCTCGAACTATGACAACACTTAAATAGAGAAAAAGTCCATGAGAAAGTTGGCAAACATTTTCATATTTAGTATTATATTAAACCAAAAGAAACCAAATTAACCCTATTGCTCTCATGAATTTATTAGCAATATTTTGTTTACATGTAGGACAAATTGGTTTGCGTCATATCAATCTCTTATCTCTAGTTCTCCAATAAAAAGCAGATTTTTTACTCTTGTATGTCAATCTCTCACGCATGACTTGAAGTATTCAAATTGCTGAAGGTTACCCAATATGATAAGAATAAACCCCTGCCTCCTTTATATTAGCCATCAGTCATGAGCTCTTTCCTCAGGATATTGAAACTCTAGCGAGTGTAAATAAAGGGAAAGAAATAAACTAATGAAGAACGGTTCATTTAATCAATCCAGACAATGAAACAATAAACAAGCTAAATTTCTCGTTTTTGTTGTCTGTTCATACATGGCATTGAGCAGGAATCTCAGTAAGGTATGTTGAAGTGGCATATATATTAGACTCCAATAAGCAAATTTGAGTGGCTGTATTTGCTTGCAATATAAATGTGTATATTAGTAATAATCACACCTTGGATGATCAGCTTAATAATATAGATTCTCTGCTTCTGTTCATTAAGCTATGATGTTTGACCATTTCTTTTAGCTATAGCGATAATATTTAATTAATTGAGTAGGTAGATAGAGAAAAGTACATTTAAATGAATTATATTATTTAATCATTACATTAATATTGTAAATTATGAAACTTAACCACATGGTATGATAGAACTAGGTTTGGAAATTGATAATTAATCCATGATATATATATATATATATATCTTTAGGAGAAGTTTATATTTTTTTTTCAATCACTTCTCGACTTATCTCAAGGTTCTGATTTTTTTTTTAAAAGTAATTTCATATATAAGCTAAAAAAACAATGATACATGGAATATCGATTCGAATATGTTGTTATGAGTGCTTTTAGCTAGGACTATTTCACTATCCTTATTATATATTTTAACGTTCCGCGCTCAGTGCTTTACTGCTTGTTATTAATCTAAATTTTTATTTTAATACTTCATTTGCCATTTCTATTTTGTATTAATTGTTTCACCTGGGAAAGAATTTCTCTTCGTGATTAATAAGGTGAACAAAATAAACCTGAGTGAAATAATCAAGCATGTTTAATTAACTGTTGATGGCTTGTCAATGTGAAAATTAAATTTTGAATTCTAAGGGGCCGGGTCTGGTCGGTTCTTTGAACTCAACCAAAATAAATGGGAGGAAAATTAGTGCCAGCAACTTGGTCACGAGGTATGGACTTTGAACCTAAATTGTAGCTAGCGGTCAATGATTTATTTTCTTCAGACCTAATTATTTAGGTTTCCTTAATTATAACCAGAGTCAACTTAAAATGTTGGGGTCTAGCCCATCTTTAAATACTTTCATAATATTAGCAAACCACTTTCTCTTCCAAACAAAAAAAAAAAAAGATTAGCAAAGCAATGTAGTCCAAGTCATGTAGAGATCCAGAGATAAGACAAGCCTTATCAGTTTGGGGTCATAGATTCTGGTGGAGTTTCAACTGGACAGGGCATGTTTGGAAGTCGATGGAAGGTGCAGGTACCAAATAAAAAACTAAACGTCAAGCTTTCCTTTTCGGGTAAATACATATTAAAGAAAGTATCAAAGTAATACAGTTGGCTGAAGGATTTTGGGAAACTTTAAGAGGAGCCCATGTCCAGCCACGTCGATGTTGCTTCGCAATGCATGGATTTTGAGAAGCAAGGTTGTTGGCGGCTGTCTAAATGATATATTGTAGTATATAATACACTAGTATTAATGAGATTAAGATTGCATTAATCTCAATTTATTTTTTCAAATAATAATAAATATGTTAATTAACATCATATTTATAACCAAAGCTCTTTCAGTTTGATTTGACAAATTATTTTTTTTCTCATGAATTTGTCTGTATTTTCAAATAAGAAAGTAGGATTTCAAAGTATCCTTGTTTTATTATGTTGTTAATTTCAAATTCAATCAAGAGCAATAAAACTAAGATGATCACAGTCTAAGCAACGTCGAGTAAACATATAAAGTTGAAAAAATATTTAAAAGATTTTTAAAATTAAATAACTTGTTTGTATATTTCGAAAACTTTATGTTACTAAATTCATATTAAAAATAATCTTAAGAAGTAATGTTTAAAACACAATTAATTAAATTAATGTGTGATAGTAACATTATCAAGAGAAAATAAATCATACCGCAATTAACCCCTCTAAAAACATCAAAATTACCCGTAACAATGTCAAAAAAGGACTCAAAAATAAAGACAATATTATAATTAAGGTTTATTTTTGATATATTGTTATTGTATAATACCTATATATTATCACTTAACTGTAACATTTCATAAATGTGTAAAGATAAAGTTTAAAAAATCTTTCAAAATAAATATTTTTAACATTATTAGTATTTAATTTTTAAACTTTCAAACTTTTAAATTTATTTAATAGCAAAGTGATAACATTTGATTTCCATATGTTGACACTGTATAAAATATAAATATTATATTATATAGATTTTATTAATTTTAAAATATTTATGTGACGTGTTTGTAATTTGGGTTTGGGTGTTTTAACAGTTACATTTTTTAGGACTTAAATATGGCACAATTATTATTATTAAATGATTACTCCAATCTTAATACATGTTGGCAAATTGGCTTGTTAGATTTGAATAGTTTATATCTATGCCACGTGCTTGATTTTAATAAATAATTAAAAATTTTAAATGGCCAATTGTTTATTCTTTTGGGTCATGGGACAGTTGGATCAACTCATGGGCCTCTTAGAAGCAGAGCTAGATCAAGTCAAGTCAACCACGTCAGTTAATGGGTTATCCAGCAGACTGTTTTCAGCCCGTTTAGGCTTGTTAACAGAGACAAGACTCAAAGACCATTTGAATAAAACGCAAAAATTACTACGTTCCTATAAAACGATGGAATATGAAACGCAAAACGGTGGCCTAGAGTGACTACGAAGAAAATGCAGTAACAGATAAGATTACAAAGTGGGGGAGGGACAAGAGCAGAGATAAAAGAGACTGAGCTTTTCTCCAGGGCGTGGCAATGGCAACGGCTACAGCAGCATCTACTCTCTCATGGCTTCACAGCTTTGGAGGAACCCAAAAAGAGAAAACAAAAGATTCAGACAGAAACAGGGTCTTCGTGGTTTTTGCTCAAAAGAAAGCTAAAAGGACTCGAAAGGTAAGCAAATTGTTTCGTAACATGAAATTATGTTTCTTTTTTTTTTTTTAATTTAGTAAGCTGATTGGGTGTTGGTTAATGTTGGGTGCAGATAATATTGAAGGAGGATGTGGAATACCTAGGAAAGAAAGGGGAGCTTTTGGATGTGAAAGCTGGGTATTTCAGGAATTATCTTTTGCCTATGGGAAAGGCCCAGATTATCACTCCTGTTTTGCTTAAGTATTGTCTAACCTTAATCTTTTTTTTTTTTTGAATTTTTGTTTCTTTTCTTGATTTTTGAATAGTATCCAACTAGGAGTTAGAAGGAAGTAAGATGAATTTGATTTGGGAGTTTAATAAACATACCTTTTGTATAACTGGGAGAAAATGTACCTTACATATGATTTAGAAAATAATTGATGCTTTTTTTTTTCCAGGGAAATGAAAATGGAGGAGGCACGAATTGAAGCAGAGAAGCAACGGGTAATTTAGTGGTACTTGTAGTCATTACTGTCTTCTTCGTATTTAACAATTTTGAATATTCGATGTTTGGGTCATCTCCTTTTCTGCTTTTTTGTTTTGGTCTGTAATCCCACTAGGGCACTGCACATCTTAATGATTTGAGGCTGAAAGCAAGTTTGCAATGTCAAAATAGAAACTTCCCTGATTGAGGTGACGCTTGTGTTAGTATGTGTTTGTGTGTTTGTCCTGATGGTATGAAGTAAAATCATACAGGATTTCTTTATGGTGTAGAGTGTGCAGTTCAATCAAACACTAGATTTATCTGTTCCAAGCTGGTATGCAAGGAACACAATATACTGATGTTACTGTTTTTCTGCTTGCCATTTGTGGTTTTAGTAGAGGAGATTCTAATCATGTTTGTGCACTGAATCTTGTTAGATAATCTTGTTTTACTGCAGGTAAAAGAAGAGGCACAACAACTTGCTCTAATATTTGAAACTGTTGGAGCTTTCAAGGTGAAGCGGAAAGGTGGTAAAGGAAAGCAAATTTTTGGAAGGTTAGTAGGTTCCAACTCTACGATAAGCAGTTAATATTTTTGTTGTTTGCTTATCATATTTGCTCTCTGACTTTCACTTTTTTTTGTCAGTGTCACTTCTCAAGATCTTGTAGACATTATCAAGGCACAGCTTCAAAGGTACAATCATCAATCTTTGTGGGTTTTAGATTTAAAAATTTGTTAACTTCTTCTCCTAACACAAGCTTCGTAACTCTGCAACTTATTCAGTAAATTTGTAACATTAGTTGCACTGAAAAAAATTCAAGCAATTTGCCTAATTGAGTCCTAGCATTCAAATTTATGCGTATGCCCCATTACAATTCTTAACACACATCTCCATCTGCTGATACAAGTTACAGAATACAAATGAAGCTGACAAACTGTTCCATAAAGTTTGTTTGGTCCCATTGATAGATGCAACATCATGAACCTTTTTCATTATGACAAAGAATTATAGTCTCCTTTAAGTTTCAGTGTTTCGCCTTTAGTAAATATGTTAAGAAAGTTGATTTCTGCGTGTATTCATGGTTAGATGATCTGCCACCAATTGGATATTATTATCCTGTTATTTGAATGGGTATATGAATCTTACACAAGAACCCTTTCTAAATGGAAATCTCTAATCAACCAGACCTTTTGAAACCCTAGTAAATAGTAATTAAGAAATGTGAGATAAAAAATTCCTATTCCGACGTGTACTCCTCCTGACAAAATTTCCTTATGTACCAATCTAGTTGCTTAATTCTGAACTCTTTTATTGATTTGTAGGGATGTGGACAAACGAATTGTTTCTCTTCCAGAGATCAGGGAAACAGGAGAATATGTCGCAGAGCTGAAGCTCCACCCTGAAGTTACAGCTCAAGTGAGACTAAATGTTTATGCTAACTAAGGACAAGTCCCTTCTGTGCATCTCCTCTTTGGATGGGCAACTTCTTTGCCACTCGCATCAGTCTAAGGCATGTGAGCATCTGATAATACAATTCTTTGAAATAGTGGGGGTAACTTTTCCTTGCAGCTTGTCAATAAAGGTTAAGGAATTGATCTTAGGAAGAACTTTCCTTGCATTGGTTCTCTTACAAAGTTCTGCTCTTGGTACCTAGTCTCTGCCAAGAATGACACAACTTGACTTTTGATTGGCATGTAGTTTAGGCTGAGAATTTAAAGAAGATAAAATTTTTGCTCTTAGATGTTCAAAGAGAAGCGGAAATTACCCAAGAAAAAGGATTAGGTTTGATTAAGTTTCATGAGGTTTTCACTAAAGGTTTTGTATAATTCCAAATGGAGTGAATGAGTTTCACAATGCTGAATTCTTTACTGTTTGATTGCAGGAGGTACACGATCAAGGCAAGTTCAAATGTTGCCCGTTGGAGAGTGACAAGTGTGTAATTTTTGTGTGTACATGTATTAGCTGTATTAATCATAGCAGAGCAGTTTTTATATTTCTTTTTTCCAGGTTTTTTATTATTCTCTTGTAGAATGTATTGATCTTTTGAAAATTATTCATATATTGCCTTGTTTCATCTGGAAAACAGCTTCTCTCTGTGGTTCTCTTGGGTTGCACATGCCAAACTTTCTCTGATCTTTATTGATGCTTTTTGTATGCTTATGCCAATATATCGGAGCTTGAACCCTTGGGCTTGGCTGACGTGGTGAGGGTGGGGTGTGAAAACAGAGGGGGCAGTTATGATCAATCCTGCAAAGCCATTCACCCCTATTGACAGAACAGTCATAACTTTACACCTTTGCTTAAATTTTCTCATGCAAATGTCTCCTAATTTAGAGTTGCAAGCAGGATGGAATAGCCAAACCAAGAATACGACTATTTCATCTAAGTCCATGTCCGTTTCTTCCGTACTAAATATATCAGACAATAGCTAGTCTGAAATTGGAGGTGAAGAGAAGAATTTCTTTGGTTGCGTAACTAATAGGACAGTGAACATGCGTGAACTGGTGTTATTGGACTGGGTCCAACTATCAGAGCCAAAATCCTTTATGGCTCAAAAAAGGGTAAAAGGATTTGTTGCTGCCCAGGATCGAACTGGGGACCTTCAGTGTGTAAGACTGATGTGATGACCACTACACCACAGCAACATATGCCTGGGAGTTTCTGTTTCAATCTATATACTGTGATACGAGATGGTCAAATTATTTCCAGCAAAAACTAATTTGCTGATTTGATAGTATAAGGTGGATTTCAATTTTTTTGTTTATAAAGAAATTTGAATCCTACTTTTTAAACAAGAATCATGTATCAACCAATAAGTCAAATGTTCAAGTGCTTACTAGCTTTAACACAAATTTCAAATTAGCAATAGGATCGACCACAACCTAATTTTCCTTGTATGAACATTTAAACATTTGGAAACTGTTATAATCTTCATAAACCATCTTCATCTTTGCATTTAATACAAGAATTTAAAGTCAAAATATTTCATAACTCATTCAGGTAGGAAAGTATAATTAGCTAGCTAAATGGGATGAGATTGATCACAAATCAATTTCCCATAGTTTTGAAAACACTTCTTCTTAAGCAAAACTTTTACTTGAAAAGAGTGACTGATGTGTTTTAATTACATGCCTTTATCTGCATGCATGGTAAGCATAAATAAGTACTCATCACTTTCCCTTCACACATAGTTTTCATTTGGTAACTACCATGACCTTGAAGAAACCTAACTGAACCAAATCTGTATATGAAGCACATTAGGTAGGCAACATCTCACCAAAAAAGAAAGACTAACCACACAAAAAATTTATAGTGAAGAAAGCCTAATTGAATCTAACCCATGATGTATTAGTATGATACATGTGAAAATTAACTAAACCTAATTGATTTGGTTGATTGTGTTGGACTCAAACCCAAGTTTATGGAAGTTGGGTGATCAGCCAAGTGATTGGATGGATCGATAGAAGTTAGAAGTTTGTTTAGCGTTATTGTTACTAAGAGGGATAACCGGCAAATACCAAAATCACACCAAGCTTAGTTATTATTGGCTTAAGTTGTCACAGTTAGCAAACACCTTGGAGCTTTGGTCCCTTTCAGCAATACAATGACTAGGCCACAACAACACAGGGAAAGCAGCAGAAAAGCTCAAAGCCTAGAGATTTCGATAGCCATCCAGCTGTGAAGTTGGAGGCCACGCCACTTCAAGATATACGAACTGTCCACATGCCACTTTGTTATATTCTCTTAGTGTGATTGGCTACCGTTAACTCTGGTTATTAGCCTAACAAGCTTCCAGGGTGGATTGCATGGTAGCCAATTAGGCATTTTTCTTTTTTTTGCTATATGAGGGGTTCTTTGCAAAGCTTTCAACTTGTAATTGCAATCCCATAATCAATACATTTAGCCAGCTAGCAGTAGTTTGAGATTATATTGCTAACGATCTCGATGTTGAATTTATTTGATTCATTCAAAACAAGTTGTGTTTAAAATTTTAAATTGAATAAATTCAGTTCACATTAAACTCGAGATTTTATTGATATAATTAAGTTTTGAGATTTGGCTGGCATGTATTTAAAACATGATAACATGTGTAGGTTCTTGGCTGAAAAATTTTGGATAAGAATTTCTTAATACATATATATAAGGGAAAGAAAAAGACTTGGAAAAGCATTATTGCTGTTGAGACATTTTCTCGACACAAAGCTAGTTTTAGGTTCCTTTGAGTTGTTAAGTGGCCAATGAAGAGAACCTTTCAACAAAACCAAGCAAAGTAAGCATAAAAATATTATATGGAGAGTGTTATTAGCACTTTGTTTAGAGCATATAGAATAATTAGAAGAGAATATTGGGAGGTTGCATGACAAGGCAACTCTCCCCCCACTACATGTGCAAATGTCAATGATGATCTCTCTCTCTCTTTGTATTTGGACATCTCACGCAAGTGTCCACATGCTTCGCTTACCAACATTCACCAAAACGTGCACATAACAAACTCCATTTACACACAAGTGAGTGTGAGTGAGTAAATTAAGTCACCCCTTTTGTTTTCTTCTTTCTTGTTTCTCAATGATAAGCCATGCTTTACTCATGTTATACTCCAAGACAAATTTTTACATTTAACGAGTCTAAGAGTTTTACTTATTCTACATAAATTCAATTTCGTGACGCATAATTCTTTTTTGGATTTTAAATTATTTACTGGAGATACGTATTTAAATTTTTCGATATCTTTATATGTAAAGATTTCAAAGTAAGTAATTAGTGTCTTCTTAGGGAATATCAATGGCATGGATCTGGACCCCATTGGATGATTGGCAATTTAGTTAAGTTGCTTGCAAAGTAAGGGATGTTACAGTTGGTTAATTAGGTGTAACGGGGGGTAGACTTAGAGCTAAGAAAGCAAGATAGACCATTAAAAAAATAATATATATATATATATACACACACAAAAAGAAATATAGAATAATGATATTAATGAAGGAAGGAGAAAAAAAATGTAGAGATACAGATGGGTACATATGGCTAAGGGCAGTTACCAACTCAGCTTGCTATATCCATTTATTCCTTGTCATTTAATGAAACAGACTGTGGGGTGAGAGAGTGAGGGAGAAAGAAAATAAAACAAAATTTAAAAGAGTATTTTTAGCTTTATTATAACCAAAAAAAAGAACACAAAGGGGAAGAGAACCTAATCCACGACTTTTGGTTGTGGTGTTGGTGCTGCCAAACCCTAGATAGCCCAACCCTCCCATATTTCTTGTGTGTCTCCTCTCTTTTTAGTGTCACACATCGCTCTCTTCCCACTAGGAAAAGAACAATAACTGAAAACAACATAAAATTTTAATGGGGGAAAACTTATAGAAACCTCATAAAGAAAAAAAATAAAATATTAAAAAAAAAAAAAGATGCCCCCATCACTCACTTTTCGTGAATGAAAGGCAACCATGAACACTAACCACTTACTTACTCAAAGTATTCAACTTCAACAAGTAGATCATCAAAAATCAGAAGTCTAAAGAAGAAATAAAAGAAGGAATTCAAAGAATAATAATTGATAACTGTAAATAATATCAAATTGAAACAATACTAATAATTCACATTGATCGATCCATAAGTTTTTTTTTTTTTTTTTTTGGGTTTAGTAATGGCAATCTACCAAAGCTGGTGTGGAGAAAACAATAGCTTGTTGGGGTACTGCCCAAATTGGAACTTGGAATCCCTGAGATCATCTTCCGGTGCTGGAAGATTAAGATCTAAAGATAGAATATTTCTAGGCTTGATGTCATCACCATTGCTGGAGTCGATCGTAGTGCTAGTAGTATCAGCACTCATGGTCATGCCAACTGGATTGCTTGCAGCAGCAGCAGCTGCTGCTGCCGCCGCAGCCGCGGCAGCCCTGTGCCGTCTCATGTGACCTCCGAGGGCTTGACCAGAGGTGAATTCAGAGCCACAGATTGAACACTCGTGAATCTTACCCTTGTTCCCATGACAAGCCTTGTTGTTGTTGCTTACTTGTAAAGCAAGAACAGGACTTTCCCTGTTGAATTGCCCTTCTTCAACATCACCTTTCACTGCCAAAACGAGTGGTTTTTTCTCTTCTGCCGTGCTCCCTTGGGCTTCTTGTGGCTTGCCCTGTGCCCTCCTAGCGCTTGGAATGAAGGGAAAGATCGGTTACAGGTTTTACACTCGTAGACATAAAATCCAGCCTTGTTTGTCGTAGTAGCTATCTCAGAGAACTTTCGAGTTCCAAACTTTTCAATCTTGAATTTCTCTCCCACATCCCTTTTCGGGCCATCACTTTGTGCTAACATGATTAGGCAATTAGCCATGTCCTCTTCTTCCTCAGTGCTCTCATAAATCTCGCTAGACGTCGTCGGAGAGGAAATTGAGTTGTATTCCTCCACCACTCCTCCTCCTCCTCCACCCGCAGCAGCACCAGCCACCGCTATTGCCACCACCACAAGCACTTGAAGAGCTAGAGGTCACCGTGACGCCGAACGGGGACGCTGACCTTTGGCGCTTTGTACGCTTGCCTTTGATGATCAAGGCTTGGTCATTAGACCCCACAAATTCCTCTTGAGCTTGCATATCCACCCTCTCCCCCAAACCAAAGCCCAGCCAAAGAGTACACAGGAGTTAGAAAAAGGAAGAAAATTGTACTGTAAGAAGGAAAAAAGAGAAGCGAGTGACCTAACAAAGGAGATGAGTAACAGCTAGAGAGAAAACAAATGAAGCAAGCAAAGATAAAGAGTATAAAGGGAATCTTATATATAGTGAATGGTAATAAGGGTGGTTGGTGTCTATGTATATAAATTGAAAATTTTCGTAATAAATTTGGAGTCAAAACTCAAAAAAGCCGCCCCGTGAATAGTTACTATGTACTCCATGAATTTCCATATATATCACCAATCTTTTTCTTGCTTTCCCAGCCTTCAAAGTTGTTACTATTAGTTGAAACAAATATTTTACTTGTGTCTACATCATTCGACCAATAATTAAATATCATTTCCCCCTAATTCTTCCTTCTCATGCAATTTATGTTTAATCTTTCAGTAATTATATTATACAGAATTGTTCGTTTGAGAATTTAATTCTGAAGATTTTTTGGGTTAGAATTACGACAACCAATTAGGAGAATAACTATATATATTAAGCATTGATTAACTAAGTCTTGGCAGTATCTTAGGGAGGAGAAGATAAGTGCAGGCAAAGATTAGAGTTGAGAATTAGGTGGAGAGAGAGGGAGAGAGGCTGAGAAGGGGCAAAAATGAGAGTTAGGACAGTTCAATTGAGTTGGTGTTATGTTAAGAGTAAGTTTCACACACAGACACTCACTTCCTCACACACAGTGTGGCAGCCAAGTCACGAATATACACAAACAAAACCATTAAAAGCAAAGGGGAATTGCACGTTAAAAGCATGCTGCTGCGCTCATTTACTCCACGTCTTCTTAAAGCAAAGTACGTAGCGCCACAAAAATTGAGTTCCTGAGAGAGAATCTGGTTACTTTCAAGCAAACCCCATCACTTTTTTATTCTTTCTTTCCTTCTTTCTCCTTTTTTAGGATTATTATGATTTTGATCAAAGTAGGGTATTTCTTTTTTCTGTCTGTCTCTGATCTCATGGAAAGCTTGTGGGAATAAACTGTAGTTTAGGCCACCCCCCAAGGCCAGTGCTCAGCCCAGCAAGAAAAGAAAGGCATTCAACTGCAAAGGTTTCCATTGTCAAGTAGGCTCTTGTTGAACACAGGATGTTTACTTGACAAGTCACAAAGTACGGTTAACACAGGGAGTCTTGTGACTATTTTTCCAATTTCTTTTTTTCATGCTCTTTGCAAAGCCATTACATTGGGTTAATAATTCTTTCCCCACCATGTATATGTCTAATCAACTAATTTCGTGAATTATTGAATCAATTGCTGACAAGTCAATCTGGGCCTGTTAAAGAATTCAAATACCAACTTCATTTATTGAAAATTTAATGGGGAATGCTTAAGTTTCAAGTTCAGTCTGCCAAACAAACCATGTTAGTGCAGCAGTTGGCATCATTGAAATGTTGGCAATTTCAAAATTTATGAAAGTCATTACCCACCAATTTTCTGCAAAAGAAACAACAAATACACTAACAGAACAAGAACTTCATACTGGCAAAGTGGCAATTGACATGAAACTCATGACCAATAAGATTAAAATAAGATAATAATTCAGGACAAATTTTGTCATTTCAATCCCTCAATTTCAAAGGAGGGGTCTATATCTGCTGCGTGGGTATGAATATATTAATATACATATACACATATTTACTTCCATAACCCCAATTTAATTGCAAAGAGACAAAAAAAGAAATAAGACTGGGTACAGTAAGGTTGAGTGTAATTAGCTAGCTAGTTGGCCTATGTAAAAAGATTCTCAACTGACAATGATTAAATCCGTACTTTATTTATTCATAGAAATGCTAAATTCATTGTTTCCAACGATGCTCCTAGTCGAGAATTCATGCATCAATCACCACATTGAAACTATTTTTCCCAGCCAATGTTACATATTTTCTCCTATAATTTGATTGAGATTCACTATTGTTTAGTCACACTAGGTGATATTTACTCCAAAAAGTTATGAATCTTTTAGGAGCAATATGTGAAGTGCTCTGATTGTTGTCAAGATGTGATATCTGTTTTTTTTCTTTAATTGTTTGAAATGCAATCCTAATAATCACAAAAAAAAATTAAATCATGTTTCCGAAACTTAATTGGACGTCTTGCTCTTCATGATGTTGATTCTTCAAAATCTTGTTTAGATGCTAAAGATTAGAGTGGTCCTCACATATTCCTTGTAATGGTAGAGTGATTAGGCTGTGCTCGATAAATTATTAACGTGAACCTCCACCAAATACTCTTTCTCAATTGTTTTTCCTACAAGAAATCTCGCTAAATTAGAAATACTGCAAATTTTACAGTAAATTAATTGTACTTTGTTTAGATAAATAAAAATCTGGAGCAGATAATTACTCCAACCCCAAATTTAGGGTATCAACTTTGAATCCATTGCTATAATAATTCATTATAATTAGTGTTTATCTACTGAACATTGCTTTTTTCCAAAAAAAAATTAATTTGATAGAATAAATTCATACGTATAAGTTTTTCAAAATCTGTTACTTGTTTGGTACGGAATTGAAACACTTTGTCTATTTCTTTTGAAGTGCTTGATATGGCATTTATTTGGGTAAATTTACACTTATATTTATTGTATAACTTTTAATTAGTTCAATTTTTAGAATGTAATTTATCAATGCTGTGACTGAAATTGTTATAATTGCTCATCCTTTCATTAATTAAGTGGTGGTATAGATTGGGGATCGATGGTTTTAACACAAATATAGGTCAACTTGTTTGATTGAATTAAAATTAAAGGCCAATACAAAAGCTTTAAGTTAGGTGTAAGTCACCAATTAGGTACCCCAAATCAAAATTCAAATGATGCTATTAGTGATTAAAGGTGTTATTAATGTTTCTATAAAATCAAAATAATAAATGTGTAGGTAGATGTCACAAGTCTTTTCTTTAGGCCACACTTGCCAGAGTAACACGTTGCCAGGTTGTGAGAAATTCTTATCCTTCATGCCTTGCCAAAGCAATTAATTGCCTTTTGTCTTTTTTTTGCTTTATGATAATATAATGAACATCTTGATCAGCATATCCTTAATTCATGTTTTCTTCCCTAATTCGTTGTTAGATCGACAAGTGTTAGTTGCAAACCTCGACCCACAGCCAAATGAACTACCTTTTCGCCCCCTGTTTGAGCCTTGGGGTGGCAATTCGGATCAATTATTCTGATCAAATCAATGTTTGTATCGTATAAACAATTCTCATTAATTTGAATCTTGTGATAATGAAAGGGTGGAATTCATATGGGATGGCTTCTTATAAATAAGAAAGGATTGAGATTAATATGTCAAAAGAAATTAATTCGTAACATGATAAAAAATATAATAAATTTACATTTTTTATTCAAAATGCATATTTGATAAATAGATGAAGATTTTTATTTATAAATTTAAAATTCATTTATCTCTTATTTATGTGGGATCATAACAAAAGGTAGATTCCTTCTACTATTAGATATATAGTTCCAAAGTTAGATATATGAGAAATAAATATATAAGATATGTACCAGAGTGGGGCTGACGGGGCTGATTCTTGGCGTAAGAAATTAATGTTGTTAGTTATATGAGGCACGTAAGGGAAGGTACACAGCCGCAATTCTTTGCTGTCTTCTGTTGTTGCTAAAGCCACTGAAGGAAGTTGTAAAGGAGAGCAAAGCAAAGCAAAGCATTCTTCTTTTTCTCATCATATACCCAATCCGAATGTAACAGAAAAAGCTAATTGATTTGATTATAAGTTCATATATAAGATAATTATCAAAATCTTAGTTAACTAAGATGTGATTAATGAAATACAAGAGTTTATATAAATTTTATACACTATACATTTATAAAGTAATACTTTGTAATTCAGTAATAGTGTATAAATTCTGTGAAGTCAAGGTACATGATACCTAGGTACAATTTAATTCTATCACTTATACTATTCAAATCGGATATAACAAACTTTGAGTCATAAAAAAGGAAATTGAGTATTTTGATTTCTTTTTAATTTATTTCTTTGTCTTTTGATTTTTTTTATTTATTTCATTGTCTTTTGATGTGTATTTGATTATAATTTGTTGAATAATTACTCTTGTTTCTTTTTTCTAGCCTTAGTGTCATGGCTCCAAAAAAAAGCCATGTGAATCCTACATCAAACAGAATATATGATTTTTAATGGTTAGAGTCACAAGTCTCACAAAAACAACTTCATAGATTGAACGTGGTGTAAATTTTTAAATGTCAATATCACTCGAATATATAACTGATGTGTAAGATTCATGGCTTCCTTCTAAAACCATACCATCTTCCTCCACTTCAATAAAGATCCGTTGTCCTCAATGACATATTGTTAGTACCATAATCCGTTCTAATACCAACTGTCTCCATTGTCTTTAGTGGCACATCGTTAGTACCAAAATCTATTTTGATACTAACTGTCACAGTTTACATCAGACCCTGTTGACCTCACAGGTTGAAGGTCAGACCCTATTGACCTGTTAGCCTCATAGGTTGAAGGTGGTGGTGTGAACCTTTAACTGTCACACCTTTGGTCTCACGGGTTGAAAGTAGTGTGAACCTTTAACGGTCAAAGTTCACACCAACCTTGTGAGGTATTGTTTGCTTTGATCTATTGGCCTCATGATTTTGTCTCACAAAAAATACCTCACGGTTAAAGGTAATGTGAACTTTTAAATACCCAGTATCATTCTATTACGTAGTCAATGTAAAATTCATGGCTCTAAGACTATAATATCCTCCATTGGCTCCTCGTTAAAGCTTCTTTTTCATGTGAGACTTATGACTCTATCTGCTAAGAATATAAATTCTCTTCGATGTGCGATTCACATGGCTCCCCTTTAAGTTTGTGACACTTAGCAACCTTGTAGTAAACATTATCCTATAACAAGATCATATTAAAAAAATCCAATAAAATGATACTATTTAAATCTGGCTGAAGATATGCTGATGAAGAGATGTTGATTGATCAAATATAATATTTGATTTATATAAGCATGTATTAGCTAACAAAATCATTTTGGGATTGGCTTATTACTGTACACCAGATTCGTTGATGATTATTTTTAGATATTTGATCCAATATCTAATTGGACTTAATTGACGATTAAGTATATTTAGAGGACAATTATATTTAATGAATAAATATTTTTAACCCATAGAAATTCTTGGTGATCAAGTAATTATGAGAGAAATGAGTTTTCTTTGGAATAATAAAAATATCATATTACATAGAATAGAAGGTATTTCATGGATTTAAATATTAGTGACAAGAGTTTGAGATTTAGTGTTTATTTATTGATGCTTTGTATTTTTTATAATCTTTAATATTAATATTGAATGTGTTTTTATTTAAAAATTCAACAATTATGAATGAAGTAAAAACAAATGAGACTGATAATGAATTAATAATGAATTCTAACTTAATTTTGATCAGTATATTAACAAGACACCATAGAGTTAATCTCATCCAAAATTGAATACTAAACTTTTCTCAAATTTGTATGAAATTTGGGGTCTTTTCCAAACTCTGGGCTCTTTTTGAGAGATGGGGCCTATCTGCTGCTGTCATCAGATAGAGCAACATACTCTTAAGCCTCTACAGACACTACACTGCACTCAACCAGTGAACTTAATACTCACTCCACTCACCCACCTCTCTCTCTCACCATTTCTCTTGGGAGAAAGGGAGAGGGATCAGGAAGAGGCTGAGCCACAAGTCATGGGGTGTGACTCATGGGAGCATGTTAGTTGCAACTTGCAAGTTGCAGCTCAACCTCAAATTAAACTATTTGATATAACAAACAAACAGATATAAGTGTTTTTGTTTTATATGTTTCTTGGCTGTCTGTGAACAAACAAATTAAGCCGGCTTGTCCTTATATTCTTTTTTATTTTTCTTGGTTGTCAGTGAACCAACTCCCTTTGGAATTGGAACTGGTAAGAGCATAAGAAAAATCCCTTCAGTTAAGTATCTAGAAGCAGCATGGCTTTTATGTCTGGCAATGGTGGATGACCAAAACCCCTCAAAATCTGGGGAGATCAGAAGGAAAAAGCTATAAGGTTGGTTGAGCCAAATACAGTGGATCCTCTTGTTCTTATAAAAATTCAACAAAAAATTTGGGATTTCTTTAATCCTTTGCTTCTTACGAAAGACCCAGAAACTGAGTAGACATTAGCAAACAAATTACCAAACCAAGTGTAATAAAGCATTAAACCAGCTCATGCTATAAGGAAAAGGTAGGGATGCCTGGTCCAAACCGGTTGTTACAAGAACTTTATTATAAAGACTCTTTGGTATCATTACTACTTTGTTCGCTAGCTGGGATAACTAATTCTTGCCTGCACTTGGATTAATTTGATGAATTAGGTTACTTTTTGCATAACTGCTGGTCCATATGCCTGCTGGTCCATATGACTGATGTCATCTGAAAATTTTCCCATGATTTTCCTCCCATTGTTTTCAGTGCTACTTTGATCTGTTTAAACTTCACTCAAAAGCATTCCCCCAAGTCTACTTAATGCAGGGATGGGGTATTGTGCAAGGCACCTTTCCTTCTCATCTAACAGCATATTATTATAGTGTAGTTCAAGTCAGATCCTTGAAACATCTAATTCTTATTTATTTATATTTACTAGCAGTTCACACCAATATATATGCATGTTAGAAATCATCTTGGTAGGGTGATAGAGACATTTGAGGCGTGGGATGAGTAAGGATTTAGCTTCTGGCTTGGACCAAAAAGTACTACAAAAGTAAATATCACTATCTGCAGAAACCCAAAAGCAAGCAATGCAGAAGGAGTCAATGCTTTTTTGTTTTTTTTTTGGGTAGGAGCAACCCCACTTGCATTATCCTGAGTGCTTCAACTCTTTCTAATTTAAGCGTATAGTGAAGCTGAGAGGCTTACAAACCATGTCAACAGTTTAGGGCCAAACCACACACTGTATTCATCTGTCAACTCTGCTGCTTATATGTGTACATCTTAGATACACACAGACAATAGCCATGAATAAATGGAGCATGAATCCAGATAGCTAAGCAAAAGCAGCAGAAGAGAGAGTTTTGCATGCCGAATCCTGTGAAATTTGTGAGTTTATCTTGCACTTTCATGTTGAAATAAAGGTGTTGGTGGGTAGTGGCAGTATCAGTGATGACTTTTAGTAGCAGATGTTGATGCGTAGGAGTACCACTTTGGCAAGTTGTAAGTAATGGCACAAGGAAGAAAAACGAGGACAGCGGTAGCCATCAAATCCTTGCACTAGCTTTTAAGGACAATTGACTTTATGCCAACTCTACACACATAAATCCCTTGGTATAGGCTTCCACGACTACTCTTTTCACTTGTTAATTTCTACTTTGCATCTCACAATTGCCTCGTGATTTAACTCTCGATCAAGCATTAAAACAAAGCTAACAAATCTTAACTCAATAGATTGCTACCGTATACTTGCCCCAGCGGCCTTCATTGCAGTATCTCCATACATTTGCTGTTCCAATCAAAACCTGACATTAAAAAAAAAAAAGGCATGTTCCTTTTTCATTTCTGGTTAATTTGAGTTTGATTAGGTCGCCGACCTACTGATACTCTTTGTTCCTTAATTTCAACCTAACATTTAATGATTTTAATGAATGATTGAGTGACCAACCTACTCATTTTTGCAAGTTATTTGTCATATAATAAAAAGCTTGTCTGAGATAGTGGAACTTGATTTTATGAACACAAGTAATTAAGTACCTTTCTTCCTCTCATTATTTAACCATAAATTATATTTTTAAGAAATAAATCTTATATATTATGGTGGTCAAACTTATTGACTGATATATATCCTACAATAATTACGCAATAATCCTTCTTCCACAACCCTTAAAAACCTGATTGAAGTTTATATTTGATCTGTTTAGGTTAGTTGACATGTTTAAATTAACTTAATAATGGGTTTTATATATTGCAAAAAAGAAGTAGAATTAAAGTCTAGTGCTTTTTTTTTTTGGGTAGCAGCAACCCTAATAGAAAATTCCAATCAGCAACTAAACAGATGTGACATGAACATGATCCCATTTGTTTCCTTTGGTGCACCAGTCAAACTAATTACTATTACTTGTTCCACTTTGTGAAGAAGATTACTGTTCAAAGGGAGAACCGTTTCAGGAAAGATATTTTCGCATTTATATACATGTATACATGTACTAATGGTTACTTACCAACTGAAAAACCACGTTGCTTCAGTGGCTCATCTGCTTGTTGATTAAGATTTTTCTTTATTCTTTCATAATTTCGGCGTAAAATACTGGGTTGTGCTTCTAACTTAAATAGAAAGGCAATACTTTGTACAATTTGTGAAAGTAATGTGATCTTAATCAATTTTTTAAGATCAATAAATTGAAAGTACCAGGTGGGTTTAATGCTATGGTAAAAGAATCGATTTGCCGTTATTTGTGGGGATAGTTGGGCTTCAGCTAAAAACTACCAGGCGGAGGCCCATACGACGGGCTGTTAGCTCCATGGTTCATGGTTCAGGCTGCTTGGGGGCCGGGGGAGCGATGGTCTGTGTTGTGAAAGCTACTGCGGAGAGGCTAAGAGGCTAAGGCCCAAAGTTGAAACACGCTTATAGTTTGGTATTTGTTGAGTCCACGAGTTTGATTAGTGTCCTAGCAAATTTAATGGTTTCGGCTCGCAGACAGCCAGTGACAACCGGCTGCCGCATGGCATCAAAAATTTCTGTAACCAGCTGCATAAAGTTTCATTCTCATGTTGGAAAATCTGTGAAAAGATGGAATTAGCAACTCAACAAGCAAATTCGCTGCTACATTCATAAACCATGCAAGTTGAGTTTTTATTGCGTAGGGAATCATAACAGACAAAGATCAATGTCTCATATTACACTCTCAACCTTGAAAGTAACATGCGGCTATGTAACAGAAGTTGGCAAAAGCAAGTGATAAATAGCACGGACAGTACTGTTATCGTAACAAGATTTATATTGGAGTCAAGCCGACGACACCTGCACACATATTTCCAATACAAGTAAACATGAGAGGGAGCTAAGAATTCAATATAATGTTTGAAATGTACCAGCTTTGATATGAAGAAGACATGTTATGCTGGGAAGAATATCGGCCAGGCATGTCAAAGATTGTCAGAATTTAAGAGTCACAACAGGAGAATGCCCAACTGATATCGGCACTGTAAGATCACTTAGTCCAACATTAGCATTTAAACCTCCAAACATGCGTTAAACATCTCTTTCCCTATGTTACAAAGGCTTGGGGGCAAACTACTGGATATTGGTCTCAGATAAGATGTTAAGGCTCTAAATTGGCACACAGCAAATGACAAGATTATGTCCAAGAGAAAGCAGATAGTTATATACACCATATCCATTGCCAAGCCATAGATATGTAAGTAATTTAAACATTTCAAGACTCCATCTGTAATGGCTTACTAGTTCTTCTAGCAGTTTCAAGACTCCATCCTCCCATGGCCTTCTAAAACCCCTCCCCACACCCCCACACCCCCCCAAAAAAAATGAATAAATGGAATTGAAGATACACCTATCTGAAGGAACTACAATACACAGATCTAATTTACTCAGGTTTTGAGAAAAGGTTAAACCAAAAGCAATATCAGTCATCAAGCAAAATCAAGCCTTGAACAGAGCCAGGAAGCTTAAACCCCAAAATAAAATAAAGGCCACGGGAAACTGGTATTAAAAGCTGCAGAGTCCTCCAAGCTATTAATATACTTTTGCTTAGCCAAAATAATCAAGGAAAAAACAAACAAAAGATAATTATGCTCAAACCATAGATGCAGGAATAAAGAAATCAGAGATGTCTGGAAAAAATATGAACTTCTTGTCTACTCTTAAAACACATAGGCATTTACATAAAAGCACATGTATGCTTACCACATGCCAATCTTCCACCAGCGTTGCCAGTGGTTAGACTAAGTTCATGTCCACCTGCAGACGCATAACCATATAGATATATAAGAAAAACAAAGTTAGGAAGCAAATAAAAGCACATGAAAGAAATGACAAAAATATAATTTTGATTATAAGAAAAAAAAAATGCCAACCGTTTTAAAATCAAAACCAAAATATGCCCCTGACTAAGCATATCAGCTATGATGAAGCATAATATTTAAGGAAAAAATATTCTTTCTCTGACCAAATTCCACCCTCCTATGTCCAATATATTATAAGTCTCCCTTCTCTGACTATAATAAAGTACGAATCCACAACTTATGAGGGAAGTTTCCTTGCAAAGCAAAGGTGAAAATTGCGAGCCAAATAATTACCCTTTCCAAGATCATCCTCAAGCTCATGAACGACAAGTGCTCTTCCAATGACAGCATTGGGGCCACTTAGTGGTATCTGCACATGAGAGTAAAAAATTTAGAAACTGAAAAGGAAGCAGGAACGAGAGCCTTTCACACTGTGAAGGAAAATTGCGCATGCACAGAGACACAAGAGAATGGGCATGCTTGGACACTTGCACACAGTTTATCAGAAAGAAACATAGGTTTGAACAGCACCTGCTTGTCCACAATTGTTGCCTCTGCCACTCCTGTGTCACCGAAACATTAAGCAATGAATAGATCTAATTGGCGCACAGAATCATTTTATAGAAAATTTAAGAATGCATTACCAGCAGCATTAGCAACTATGTTTCCCAGGTCACCCGCATGGCGTACTTCGTCCTCAGGAGCACCATGTGTCATATTGTTAGGATTGAAATGTGCTCCTATCAATTAAAATTTTAAGAAATAAAATTTTTATATACACATTAATTGAAATACAATAAGATTCTAAAACATGAGATTCAAATGCAATAAGTTCTACCTGTTGACATGCATCCATTTGTTGTGTCACCAAACTCGTGCTACACGTAAAACAAAAAGAAAGATTACAATCATAGATTTGAAAGAACTTTTCTGCGCTCAAATCCTTTGACAATGATTAGCTAAAGCTGAAAACACTTACTAGGTGGAACCCATGAGGCCCTGGAGTAAGACCAGTAATACGAACATTCACAGTTGTAGGACCTATTTACAAAAGAAATAAGTAAGCATTTACAGATGATAGCAACACTTGATTGCTAGAAAATGGGAAAACTATGGACTTAAAATTTTTTCTTTTTTACTATTGAATTTTCAGTGGCTCCTAGAGTTGAGTTTCCATATCAAACAGCGAAAGAAAGAACATGTCCAGTAAAGTGTCAGTAAGGCCTTCATTTCCTAAAGTTTGTTGCAGGCTAGACATTCCCTTCAACTTTAACTTGAACATAAAAAATCTGAGTACAACACCCAGAAACCAATCAGTATAAATATCAGCTTGAAAAACTAGAAGGAAATTGTCCAAGCACTAAAAATCTGGCATTTACAACATTTTTTAAAAAAATCTCGAACTAGAACTGAGCATACCCTAAATTTACCATGACTCTATCCAACCTCAAAGTATCAAACTCGGAAATGAATTCACCAATAACAAAAATCCCCAAAAGCAAAATGTACTCATTTCCTTTCTTTTGCTTCTTCTCCTCAAACAAACTTTGAATTCCCAAGAAAGAAACCAAATTTCCCCACTAAAAAGCAACAGAATCCAGAACCCAAATCACAAAAATGTATCACAAAAACCTAAATAAAAAGATGAAAAGATACAAAAGAAAGAAGAAACTGACCATCATCATCTTGGGTCAACGTGACAACACCTTCAACTTTGGAATCACCTTTAAGGACAGCCACTGCTTTCTTGGTAGCAGCGAAAACAATAAGTGGCTTCTTGGGAACAGCGGCAGCAACGGAAATGGATTGGCCAGGGAGCTTGAGAGAGACACCACGAAATGAGGATTCAAGAATTGCTGGGGTTGATGGGTTAGTTGGGAGTGGAGACAGGAGAGTGTGGTGAGATGTGGTCGCTGTGAGAATAGCGTGGGCTGCCATGGCTGCTATAGCCGCAGCTTGCATTTGAGCGAGTGAAGATTATGATGGGATAATGTGAGCTGAGGTTGTGGTGGCTGCTGCGGCCCTTGGGATTTAGCTAGAAAGTTAGTGTGCTGACTTATTTATGGGGAGGGAATGATCCATCTGAGTCGGCTCGGTGGATGGTGCTTGATTTTGCCTGCGGGGACCGGTGTGGGTCAAAATCTCTAGTAAAAAGTGGAAATCCAGGGACCTTTTTTACCATTACCTTCAGAGTATCAAACTTCAATTTGCTTTTACACTATCTGAAGATAAGCTTTCAAAAGCCCTCAACCACATTCAACAACAATTTCCCATGCGACTAAACTTAATATTCGATTAATTTACCATGTCTATAAAAGATGGAAAATGGGAAAAAATATATAAAAAAATGGTTTTAAGATTGAATTCTTTTAATTAGATTATTGAATTTAATCATGATTACTATAAACATGATACCTGCTGTCGTTTCCCGTAAAACCAAGTCTTATTTTTTCATTTAAAATGATTACTCATCTGCATCGAAATCTTTGTTATTATCAGTTAATACTAATTAAAATTAAATTATTTCATTGTGAAATGTGAAATGAATGTTTCCTATTAACACAAAATAAAATTTACGCGTTCTGACTTATATTTAAAACTTGCTTTTATAAAAGTTTCAAGATTGAAGTATAAAATTTTCTTTTTTTAAAAAAAATATCAGAATTATTATTTATTTTTATGAGATCTAATTACTTAATTTTAAATTCTAAATTACAATGATTTACATTATATTTATTTATACTAATTATTATTATTAATTATTGAGTTTAATGTCACAAATAAAATGATATCAAGTCAGTTCATTAAAGTTATTTAAAATTAAAAATATATATATTTATAAATATAAAACTAAGAATGAATATATGATTTTATTTTGACATAATATTAAAATAATTTTTTAAATTATTTAAAAAATTTTAAATAATTTATTTTTTTATTACATCATATATTATTATTTTAAATTAAATAAATTTTTATAATTAATTATTGATAAATTATAATAAATTAAAATATTATTTATTATTTTATATTTACATGATATTATTGATGTAAAAAATAAAAAATATCACATATACATATTATTATATCAAATTAAAATTTTATATAATTACTAATTATAATATATTAATATATTATATTATCATTTTAACCTATCACATTAACGTCATACAATATATAATAATAAATTATATTTTGATAAAATTAATTATTAATAATAAAAATTTATTTAATTTAAAAAATGTATAATTAAATACAATAAAAATATAAAAATTTATTTAAAATTTCTTTGAATAACTTAAATTTTTTTAGATATTATGTCTTTTATTTTTTATAAAATTGATTTTTTTCATACAAAACTATTCATTTAAAAAATTTACTCAAAATTATTTTTTTTTTCACTCTTGGAGTGATCGTGCTAAATTGTAGTTATATTAGAAAAAAATAAGGTGTTAGAATATCGAAATATTCTAAAAGCAATTCTTTATTGAGTAATACAGTATTTTTTTTTAATTCAAAAACTATAATAATATATTGAATACATATTACATAACATAATTATGAGAAGAAAATTTCTTAGAAAATAAGAGAAACAAACAGCCGGAGACTTGGTTGCTCCTTGCTCGAAGCCCCCAGACCGGAAACAGCCCTTTTCTCTTTTAATTTCTTTTCAATGGAAGTCCACCAAATCCAATCCAACCCACATAATCGCCCGTTTCGTTCTCCTTTTCTCAATTAAATGGACTCTCCTAACCCGCCTTCAATGCGGGTCCTGACCCGACCTCCTCCTTCACCTGTTCCCGCTTCCTCTTCGGATCCTACCCCTCCGTTACTACCCTCCTCGCCTTCACTCCCCCGCTTTCTCGACGGCGTCGTGGTGGTCGGCTTTATATCTCGGAGACCCGACGACTCTTCCCAGCTCATTAACCGGGTTGTAGACTCCAACGTGTTCGGGTCGGGTAAAATAGACCGGGTTTTGTCTCTCGATAAAGATGAACTCAAGGATTGGTTTAAGTATAGGAGAATTAGTTACTACCATGAAGAAGATAAAGGGATTTTGTTCTTGCAGTTTTGCTCAAACGGGTGTCCAGTTTTTAATGGGTCATTGGCTTCTGGGTCGGATTTTGATGGGGTTTTGGAGGAACGGGAGTTCGGGGATCTCCAAGGCTTGCTTTTTATGTTCTCTGTAAGTTATATTTTTCCATTCATTTTTTGCTTGCTCTAATGGGGTTGTAGTGTTTTTTATTGGTGAATTTAATTTAGTTAAACATATCAGTTTTCAGTTTAGAATTTGACTGTGGTATTGAATATTGCTACATTTGATGAATTTAACGAAATTTAAGATAAGCTTGGAGTATGTACTTAGAATAAGGTGAAATGGAGGGTTTTTATTTAATTGTTTTTATTATTTTGGGTAAATGTGTGTGCATAATTTGGCATAATCTTGAAATGAAGTTCCCCTTTTTTTTTCTTATTTTTTTTTTAGAACTGAAATGAAGTTCCTCCGTTATGAGTTAAGAGCATAAATTTGAGAGCATGAGGCACGTAATACTAACCAAAAAAGGAAAATTTGTGGACGTGGTATTGCTCTATCAGTGTGTTAATTATCTGGCACTAAAGTGGTCTGCATCTATCTTTTTTTGTATGTTCAAGTCCATTTGTTTATCATTTTGTGTTATATGGTACAATTAGTCAGACAAGAGGCAATGGAAAGCCTCATACCATACAACAAACTTTTTAAGAAAGCATTTTGTTGAATACTTATTAATGGCTTATATGTCTAATGATTAACTCATTTAGCAATGCAGGTCTGCCATATAATCATATATATTCAGGAGGGTTCACGCGTTGATACTCAAAATTTGAAAAAATTTCGGGTGTTGCAAGCTGCTAAGCATGCATTAACCCCATATGTAAAATCTCGAACAACACCACCATTGCCATCAAGGCATTCTTCCTCAACTTCTCGCCCTTCATCAATAGCAACTGCTGCCAGCACTTCTCCAGGTAGAAGTGGTGGCATGTTGGGTCGCAATGCTTCGGCTATCTCTCTCATGTCAGGTTTAGGTTCCTATACTTCTTTGTTTCCTGGGCAGTGTACCCCAGTGACACTATTCGTTTTTATTGATGATTTCTCTGATGTATTAAATTCTACTCCTAATATTGAGGAGTCAGTAGAAACATCCTCAATTAATCATGCTTCTAATTCAAGCAGTTTAGCTAGGCCAACCTTGCCCATGAAAGGTTCTGCTTCAGTGGTAGTGTTAGCACGTCCTGTAAGTAAATCCGAAGGTGGTTTCCGGAAGAAACTGCAGTCATCTCTAGAGGCACAGATCCGTTTTTTAATTAAGAAATGTCGAACACTCTTAGGTTCAGAAGGCAGCCACAGTGGGTCAAGAAGTGCAGGTGTTTCAAATTCAGCCCCTCTGTTTTCGCTTGATGCATCTAGGGCTGTTGTGCTGCTAGACAAGTCAATGAATCAGAGAGGGGAATCTTTGGAGTTTGCCACTGGTCTTGTGGAAGATGTTTTGAATGGAAAAGCAACTTCAGATTCTTTTTTGCTTGAGACCCATAGTCAGAGTGCAAACAAAGAGGATCTTTCATCTTTGAAGGATTTTATCTACAGGCAGTCAGATATTTTGAGGGGAAGAGGGGGATTGGTTGCTAACACCAACAGTGGTCCTACTGCTGGTGCTGGTATGGTGGCTGTTGCTGCTGCTGCTGCCGCCGCCTCAGCTGCCTCTGGGAAGGCATTGACTACGCCTGAACTCCCAAGTTTAGATATATGGTTGTCTTCCAGTCAGCTTATTCTACATGGACTACTCTCTGCAAAGCGTGGGTGTATAAATGAAACTGAAATCGGTAAAAGAAAACCTCGTCGAAATGCCATTTCTGGACCAACTGAAGGGTTTGCTTCTAGAAGTAGTGAATCTTTAGATATTGCGGTATCTTGGTTGGAAAGTGGTAAAGGGCTTAACACAAAGTTTTCTAATTTGTGGTGCGAGAGGGTCCTTCCAGCTGCAAAAGATATTTATTTGAAAGATTTGCCTGCTTGTTATCCCACATCGCAGCATGAAGCTCACTTGGAAAAGGCTTTGCATGCTTTTCACTCAATGGTCAGAGGACCTGCAGTGGAGCTGTTTGCAAAAAAGCTGGAGGAAGAATGCACATCAATGTGGAAATCTGGAAGGCAACTTTGTGATGCTGTTAGTTTGACAGGAAAACCATGTATGCACCAAAGACATGAATTTGAGACTGGTGAGTTGCCATCAGGAACTCTGATGAAACCTCATTCTAGTGGATATGTGTTTCTTCATGCTTGTGCTTGTGGTCGGACACGGCGATTACGATCGGACCCTTTTGATTTTGAATCAGCAAACATTACTTCCAATTGCTTTCCTGACTGTGATAAGCTTCTTTCAACACTCCAGCTACCAGAAGTAAGCAGCAAAGGACCAATTCAGCCATCTTCCTGGAGTTTGATTCGTATTGGCAGTGCAAGGTACTATGAACCTTCTAAAGGCTTACTTCAAAGTGGGTTTAGTACCACTGAGAAGTTTCTTTTAAAGTGGAAAATATTTTTAGAGAAACGGGAAGCCCCAAATGTTGTATCAGCAAGAACTGTGCAACTAGGTTCTATGGGTAGTTCAAGTACAGATCCCAAGGCTGAGTTTAGTGCTGATGTTCAGTTAAAGAAGGCTAGTGCCACAGAGTTCTGCTCTGGAGCAATAGAGAGTGCTGTTGAAAATACAAGAAAACCCTTGGAAATGAGCAAGTTCAATGGCAACAAGATCAGTTTTGGCAGAGGCCTTCCCAATTTCACAATGAAAAAACCTTTTTCGGAGGTTGTTGCTGGATCAGCAGCTACAGATTCAGGATTCCCTCCTCTTCAGCTGAGGAAACAACCTTCATCAGGGTCAGAAAAAGGAATGAAGAAAAATAAGGCAAGTGATCAGAGTTTGGAAGGTGTTCATGCAACTGTTGATCCAGGATCTCAAGAACCCATACAGATTTCATCTGTTCAGCAAAGCTTAAATCAAGTAAG